TATAATAAAATAAAGTTTTTTATTAAAAAAAAAAGATTTAAAGAGAGTGTAGTGCTTTCCATATAGGTATAAACCTTATCAGAACATATGAAGGATTTAAGACTCTGGAATACAGTAAGTCCCCTACATATGAATCCTCAAGTTGTGAACTTTCAAAGATGTGAATGTGCCTTTGCATTATTTGAGGAGGCACTGTTCATTTTTGAGCGACAGGACCCGAACATGGAATGGTACATGAAAGTTGCAGCAGCTATTCTGAATGCAGTGCAGTGCTACCATGTCATCTATGATGAGGAAAAAAAGCTACTGCCCAGACATCACTGAATCATCTATTCAAGAGGGTAGATCGAATTGAATTCAGCAAGAAACCAGAACCTGTGCCATCAAGGTCAAGCGTGAGTGAAATTATAGCTTGCCCTCCATCTACTATTGCTGATGATCCTTCGACTCTACCATCTCCCACCTTCTCTTCCTCCTCCAGTCAGTAACTCTTCTCGCCTGTTCACTCAATGCCAGCCCTTGAATGCCAGCTGTTGAACTGCACTGTGCTACTGTGCTTTTCAAGGTACCGTACTGTTAGATTAAAAGTGTTTTCTTTATTTTGCTTTTTAAAATGTATTTGTGAAAATGTTATAAATCTACTATAGTGCAGCCCTGTATAGCCGCTTGCGTTGGTTGGGTACCAAGGCTAACTTTGATGGACTTATGAACAAATTGTACTTACGAACACACTCTCGAAACAGAATTCACTTGTATGTTGGGGACTTACTGTAGCATATTCAAAGTGCTGAAAGAAAAAAGAAACTGTGAACCAGGAATATGATAACCAGCACATTATTCTTCAAATGCGAAGCTGGAAAAAAAAGACGTTTTCAGATAAACAGAAACCGAGATAATTTATTGCCAATATTCCTGTTCAAAAACAAAAACAAAATGTAGATGATGTTATTTCATTGTTTCCTCTGAAGGTAAATAAGACTAGCTGGCATTTTAGATCTTCAGAAAGAAATAAAGAACACCAAAATGGTAAAGATATAAGTAAATTTAAAAACTCGTATATTTTATTTGTTTACTTAATTTTGTAGAAATAATATAGTTTTTTAAAGCAAATACAACCTTCCATATGACCCTGCAATCCCCCTACTGGGAATATACCCTGAAGATCTCAAATCACTCTATAAAAAAGATACCTGCACACATGTTTATCGCGGCATTGTTCACAATAGCAAAATCATGGAACCAACCATGCTGTCCATCAAAAGAGGACTGGATTAAAAACATGTGGTACATTACACAATGGAATATTATGCAGCCATAAAAAAAACCAAAATCATGATTTTTGCAGCAACCTGGATGGAACTGGAGTTTATAATACTGAGTGATCTCTCACAGAAACAAAGATCTGAGTATCACATGTTCTCACTCATAAGTGGACCTTGAACAACTGTCGTAATACTATAAGAAAAGGATTGACAGTGGTGGGAAACTACGGGGCGGGGCAGGGAGGGGAAAGGAGGTGGGATTAACAGTAGTCAATATCTTTCTGGGGACGGGGGGGCACACCTCATCAACAAGGGTACCTGCACAATGCATATTTGTATACTTAACCCTTAACTGTACCCCACAATTTAAAAAAATGTATTAGAAAGTAAATAAATAAAGCAAATACATTATATTGATGGTTTTTTAATGTATATAGTTAAAATGTATAATGAAATATGGTGCACGAATGGTGATAAATTAAAACATATGATTGTGGATATTGTCCATTATGCAAGAAGAAGGACAATATCAGTTCTAAATAGATTAGCATAAATTTAATTTATGTGTTGTAATTCCTAAAGCAACCACTGGAATGTGTACAGACATAAATCTTGAAAGCCAAAATAAAAATTTAAATGGAATGGTGAAAAAAAGACAGCATAGGAAAAACAAAGCAACAGTATAAACCACAATATCAGAAAAAAGAAATGTGACCGAGAATTAAATGACATACAATCATATCAAAAACTACAGTAAATATAAATGAACTAAACATTCCAATCAAAGACAGAGACTTTTATACTGAACATAATAGCAGGAACCAACTATATGCTGTTTACAAGAGATGCATTTTAACTACAAAGACACAAACAGACTGAAGGTAAATACATGGAAAAAGATATACCATGAACTTAATAGACAGAAAAGCACAGTAGTTAATATTAATATTAAAAATAGACTTGAAGACAAGAAGGAGCACTTCAAATGATAAAAGGATCAATGCATTGGGAAGATAACAATTCAAAATGTATAGTTGCCTAATTACATAGTCAAAATAAATGAACCCAGATCTATGACTGAACTGTAAGGATAAGTAGACAAATTCACAAACGTGGATGGAGACTTTAACTTATCTCTTTCAGTAGTTGACAACCAAACCAAACAAACAAACAAAAAACAAAGAGAGAGAGTCTAAATGACAATATCAACTATCTTATCCTAATGGAGATGCATAAAACATTAAGCCAAACAGCACAACACACTTCTTTACAAGTTCATATAGAACATTTACCAAGACACACGTAATTAACACTCAGTATTTGCACTTTGAGATGTCTAATGAGATCAGTTCAAGCAAAAATTAAATAATGAAAACAATAGTGGGAGGAGGGAATTGCCTACATAGGGATATGAGAGAACATTTGCTGCAAATGACAAAGTTCTATATCGCAACTGAGGTGTTAGCTCAAGAATACACACACAGACACACACAGATATGTACATATATGTACATGCTTGTCAAAACTCATCAAATAATACATTTTAAATTGTTTACTTTTACTGTATTTAAGTTACACTGTAATAAAAATATCCTTCCCCTAAAACCCAACAATGAGTTCCAATGAATGCTAAAAATGAAAGGAATAAATGACTATAGCTTATGTCTACAAAATATAATTGTTTTTTAATTTTTATTTAACATCTGATGTGTATATGCATAGTATTCATTAGTAAATAATTATTTATAGGTATTTGATCATATTGATTAGCCATTATTCTTAGCCTTTTCTCAACTCACCTTGGTATCAGTAAATTAGAATAGTCGTTCTTTATTCTTAATGATTTGAAGAAAGCTGTACTGCTTATAGAGTGTTGAATTTTTACCTAATAGTCACAAAAGATTCCAGGGAGTATAAATCTAGTGGATCTCAAATTTAGCATGCATCAGGATGATCTGAGGGCCTGTTAAATACAGATTGCTGGATCTCACCTCCGGATTTACTAATTGAGTAATTCTGGTGTGAGCTTCTAAATTTTTTATTTCTAGTAAGTTCCCATATGTGGTGAGAATATTGGCACATGGAGTAAACCTTGAGAACCAATGCTATGAAGTATAGTGGAGAGAGACTAAAGGTGATCATACTTTTCTCTTGGGAGTTCAAGTTCAAGACAGAAATTTGAATCTATATCTAGGGGAACAGAACACAAAGCACAGAGATTTTTTATTCAAGGGTCTTGAGTCATCCACCTTATCTGAGGGAGACTGTTAGCCAACACATATTGTTGTTGCATTAAGCTTTTAATGATGCGCCTTTTTCAAGAATGACCCAACAGAGGAATAGACTTCTTTGCTCAAAAAAGAAATTTAACTACAACATGAATTTCAAAATTTTTTTTGAGAATTCAATTTTTTTGATATTATACTCTGAATGAAAACTACACTACTGTCAGAACTATGTCTTCTTCTTCAGCTTAGTAATACATCCTGAGTAAGCAATCCTAAATATCAATACTCTTGAGAGCTTTTCCTTACCTAGAATGTTGTACTTTTTTCCCACATGAATGTTTTCTTCAAATTCAAGGTTAAATTTCTTTTCACTCATAAAAGTCTTCATTAGATAACCTTAGATTAAGATGCATTTTTCTTCTTTGCTGTAAACAGCACCTTTATTAATAGTGTGCACTATAACATTTGACTAAATAGTCTGTTATCTTTTTGCTTTCCACTAAGTATGTATGATTTCGATTCTGATTACTTTGTGAGCCCATAAAGAAGTATCTGTACATCCTATGTCCACTGCCTTCTGAATTAAGTCATCAATAAGGGTTTGAGGGTTCGTGATAGTGGGAGGAATGTGGGCTTTGACGTCAGACACAGTTGAATGCTGAAGGGGCTAATTACCAATGATTGATCTTGGTTAAGTTACTTATCCCCTCTGAACATTGCTCTACCTATATAAAAATTAGGAGAGTTTAAGGCTGGCAAGGTGGGGATTTTCCTCATAAATGTATATCTAAAGAGAGGCCGACTGGGCTCGGTGGCTCAGCCTGTCATCCCAGCATTTTGGGAGACCAAGGCGAGTGGATTGCCTGAGCCCGCGGGTTCGAGACCAGCCTGGGCAACTTGGTGAGATCTCTTCTCTACAATAAGTTTTTTAAAAAAATTAGCCGGGCATGGTAGTGTGCGCCTGTAGTTTGGGCTACTTGGGAGGCTGAGGCGGAAGGATTATTGGAGCCCAGCAGACTGATGCCGGGGTGGCCGTGAGTGAGCCACTGCACTCCAGCCTGGGTGATGGAGTGGGACTCCACCTCAAAAAAGATTAAAAAAATAGAGGCCAAAATTCAGACTTAGATTTCTTGAGATTCCAAATCCCAGCATCTTTCCATAGAACACAAAAGGTGAATTACACAGACAAATTTAAGCCAAAGCACGTAGAAATATGAGTATTCTTTTCTTTTGCTAATTTCTCGGTTTTACGGTTAGAGACATGAGGGGGCAAAAAATTATTGGAATTCGTATTTAATTATTATACTTAGCAGACAAGAGTAATAATTAGGCCAATATCCAAAGTATTAGCCTAACTTCTAGTATAGCAGAAAGTCCTATTCTGATGATCTTTAGAAGTCCAGTAATTATGCTTATATTAGAAGTCATTTTTAATGAAATTTCAGCAAAATTTATAAATAGCAAGCCACTGAGTTAAGGCAAAAACACAAAATACATGAAACAGAAAACATTTCAAGACTACATATGAGATTTATTTCATATTTTTTACACAGACTCAGTCACTTGGCTCGTTACCACACTCATCAACTTTCTTGAAACCAAGTGACAAATATTCATGAAGATCAGTTACAATACAGGCATCTCTCAAGCCGAAACTTAAACGTACAGTGTCAACGGTACAGAGGGGGTTTACAAACTAAAAAGTACAGTATATTTCTAACGGTAAGTTTTGGATTTTCCAGTTTACGTCTATATCATGATGTTATCAGTGGATATGTTATCAAATATGAATATCAGATATTATGTCCTTTAGCACTTAGTATTGTTAGCCACAAGAAACACACTTAAATCTATTTTTAAAAAATGACATTTAAATTCTTCCTAAAATATAAACTTTAAAAAGTATCAAATCCCCAAAAGAGTAAATATATAGATTGTACTTCATGTTGACTTATCAGACCATCTAGATATAAACACATAAAAGTTCCTGATACATGTCCATTCCTATGTAAACAAAGCTTTTATCAGTCCAGGCTACAAAAAAAGTTTTAAGATTTTTATTTAAAAACTTTAAACAAATTTTATAAAAGATTGTTTATAAACAATCTTATCAAAGTAAATTCATTCGGCATTATACAGAAACATTGACTCTGCATGACCTTCAGAGATACGGAGGCTGTGACCAGGAGGTCAGCTTGGCCAGTCCTCTGTCGATGGTTATTGTGTAAACCCAGCATTCTCTCCTCCTTCCTAGCACACAAAGAACTATTTCAGGGCTTATATTATAGTTTCTAAAAATAGAACATTGATATTATAAAAATAAATGTCTTAAAGAAAATAACAACCACAGGCTTAAACAGGAACATAGAATTTGGTGCTTTAAGGCTCTTCCTGTGGGAGGAGCTTCCATTTCACCGAGGGATCGAGATCCTCGTCAAAATCCTCCAACTCCTGCTCCTTGGAGAGTTCCAGGAAAACCTACAATGGAAGGAAAACACAAACAGTGGAAGAAAACGTCAGACTGCTCCCTATAGCTCCAAGCGAGTACAAAGAGATGTGCATATTCAATGTTTATATTCCACAGATGACCAAGAATCACTAAGAGGACGCACCTGCTCCAGGGTGGACTGTGAGAGGCTGTACTCCTCCAGGTCGAAGCTCTGTTTAACTGCATAAGGATGGACAAGCATCAGGAGTTCATGTATTTTTTATATCTAGGTGGTCCAATAAGTCAGCATGTAGTACACATGACATTTTAAAAAAGTCTTACATGAATAAGTTAAGGTAATAATTTGTTCATGCCTTAGTGCCGTACCCCACTCAGCTAAAAATACATCAGTGCGTTCCCTTAGGTTTGGGAGGAAAGTGCTTGTGTAATGTTTGTATGTTTTGCCGTTTTTGAGATCTGTTTTCCAGGGAGGAGACAACCCTGAGAAAGCTTTCTTTCCTGCACGTGAGTCAATGTTTTGGGCACCTTCGGCACAAGATAGGGAAGGAAGACGCAGTTTGAAAGGGCTGCATCAGAATATTATAGAGAAGGATATTTGAGGTTTTCTAGGAAGCAAGTATTTTCAGGGACCTCTTTCCAAAAGCCACGGCATCTTCCCCTAATTGGGCTGAAAACCCTTCTTGTTGATCAAAATAGACTGGGAGGGGCAGTTAGAACTCAGATGGGAGTTCAGCAGCCTGAAAATATGCCACCAAAAGTTCCAGGCCCATAGTGGACTCGGTACCAATGTGGGGAGTGCTATGAATGACCACATGACCCGACGCTGGGGTGCTCAGATCAGTCAGAAAATGGAAAGAGATACATCATCGTGACCACAGATGCTATCATCAGAAGTCAGAAGATTCTTCTAGAATCAGGTATCTGAGTCTCTTCCTTGGGGGCAGGTGACAAGCAAGTGAAGAAATGTCACTGAATAGTGACAATGAAAGCAGTTCAGAGAGGGAGTTCTGGCGAGTGCAGTCCAGAGTAGTAGAGTTAGTGAGCTAGAATTGCAAGGACAGCAAAGAGCTGTGATAGCACATGCAGTGGTCACTTGTAAAATGTGACAGTCCCAAGAGGCTTGCTTCAATAACCACACAGAAGCCTGTTTCTTAGTATAGGGTCCAAGATAGTCAAGTAATATGCCAGTCTACATAAAACTTAATTTTAAATATGCATGCATGAATGCTCCAGAAGAATGAACCGAGTTTTTACTTAGGTTGTACCAAGATACACGTCAAAATACAGGGAAAAAAATCCACAAAGCAAAAGTGAGAAACACTCCCATTACCCTCTGCCACATATACACACTGAATCGCTCCATCATCTTGGTTTTGGTGCTCCTAAAATTCAATATGGGATTTTAACTTTCAAACTTAATGCATGGTGTTCCATTTCCTTTTTGTCATGCAGATGGATTATTTTAGGATTTGGAATTATCATCTTTCCAGGATCTTATTTCAGAGTTGTAGTTCTTACCCTTCTCTAACTTGAAGAAAGCCTGGGCTAAAGGTCGCACATCTTCCACTGGCAACTTGTAAACCATCAGAGAAGAGTACCTGAGGGGGAAGAGAGGACAGGAGTGTGATACCACCTGTGTCAGAAGGAAACTGACTGCAGCCATCTCGCCAGTCTTTCTCTTTTTCTAAAAGGGTGATAAGAACACTGAACATGAGGTCTCCTAACAAATGTTTAAGTGAACAATACAGTAGTGCTGACTATGAGTGTGTAGGATCCCCTGGTTCCCTCCATCTTATTTCTGTGTCCTCACTCAAAATCACAGAGTACCTTGATGGCCCTGTCACCCGGCCAGCTACGGGTTTTTTCCCGGCTGGCTTGAACCCAAACCAGGGCCTTGAACATTCCCAGGCACTAAGAAAGGTATCTAAGTTGTTGCCCCAAACACTGAAATAGTCTGGCCGGGCTCTGAGCTGAGTTCCTTAAACTCATAGAAATTCCACACCCTTCTGCTCTTGCATACCCCTCTTCTCTCACTGTCCATTGTGAGGCCGGCTGCAGCCTGCTCTGTAAGGAAGTTCCCCTAAAACTCTTAAGTACTTTGGACTGATCACCCCGGCGTTTAGTGCTTTTCTTTCTTTGGAGTCTCCACCAGCCCCATCTTGGGACAGTGTGGGAACTCCCCTGCCGCCACTCAGCCACTCTTGGGGAGATTCTAGCAGTGGGTTTGATGGGACAAAACAGAGTCTAATGTTGTACAGCAGATGTCTTGAACTTATTAGTCGTGCTTAACTGAAATTGCATGCCTAGAAGTAACTCCTCATATTTTGCTCCCCTCAGGCCCTAGCAACTACCATTCCACTCTTCGATTCTATAAATTTGACTGTTTTAGATATCTCATAAGTGGAATCGTGCAGTATCTGTTTTTCTGTGACTGATATTTCACCCAGCAGGAAGTCTTCAAGGTTCCTCCATGCTGTCATGTTTGCAGAATGTCCTTCCTTTTTAAGGCTGGATAGTATTGCATTGTATGTATTTAACAGAATTTCTTCACCCATTTTTCTGTCAAGGAACACTTAGGTTGTTTCCACATCTTAGCTTTTGCAAAGAATGCTGCATGAACATGAAGGTGCGGGTATCTCTTTGCGATCCTACCTTCAAATCTTACGGATGTATCCTCGGAAGTGGGATTGCCGGGTCATGAGGTAGCTCTATTTCTAACTTTCTGAGAAACCACTATACTGTTTTCCACAGTGACTGCACCATTCTGCATTTTCACCAACTGTGTGCAAGTGTTCCAATTTCTTCACCTCCTTGCCTCCTTCTTCCTCTTTTTTTTTTTTTGAGGATAGCTATCTGTCTTAGTTTGTTTTCTGTTGCTATAACACAATATCACAGACTGGGTAATTTATAGTAAAAAGAAATTTATTTATCACAGTTCTGGAGGGTATAGGCAGTCCCAAATTAGGGGCTGTGTCTGTTGAGAGCCTCTTGCTGTGCTATAACTTGGCAGAAGGTATTATAGGGTAGGAGGGGTCCACGAGAGAGTCAGACTGGTTTCTATGACATATTCACTCTTGAGATAGCTAATTCTCTTTCAAGATAGCCCATTCATCCATGGATGAATTAATTCACTCATGAGGGCAGAGCTCTCATAACCTCTTAAAGGTCTCACCTGGTTCTACCTTTTGATACCGTTACACTGGCAATTAAATTTCAACATGAGTTTTGGAAGAGACACTCAAATCACAGCACCACGCAAACATGTGTAAGATGATATCTTTTTTTTTTTTTTTTTTGAGTTGGAGTCTCACTCTGTTGCCCAAACTGGAGTGCAGTGGCCGCTCTGGGCCACCGCAGCCTCGACCCGCTGGGCTCCGGCGATCCTTCCGCCTCAGCCTTCCGAGTAGCTGGAACTACAGGCACGCGCTACCACGCCCGGCTGATTTTTTGATTTATTGTAGAGATGAGGTCTCGCCAAGTTCCCAAGCGGGTCTCGAACCCGTGGGCTCAGGCCATCCACTCACCTCAGCCTCCCAAAGCGCAGGACTATAGACTGAGCCACCGAGCTTTTGATTTTCAGTTCCCTGATGGCTAGTGCCATTGAACAATTTTTCATATGCCTGTTGGCTATTTGTATATTTTCTTTAAAGAGATAGTTATTCAAGTTCTTACCTCATTTTTAAAGGGTTGTTAGGATTTTTTGCTATCGGAGTATAGGGGTTTCCTACATACAGTCATAGGCTGCGTAATGATGTTTTGTTCAACCACAACCTGCATAGTCAATTGTGGTCCCGGAAGATTACAATGAGCTGAAAAATTCCCATTTTCTAATGAGATCATAGCTGTCACAGCATAACATATCACTCACATGTTTGTTGTGATGCTGATGCAAACAAATCTATTACACTACCAGTTGTATAAAAGTGTAACACATACAACTGGATAATGATGGTAAATGACTTTGCTTATGTTTTATGTATCTGATGTACTGTATGTTTTATTATTATTATTATTTTACATGTTATTAAAGTATTCTCCCGCTTATTAAAAAAAGTTAACTGTCAATCAGCCTTACGCAGATCCTTCAGGAGATGTTCCAGAAGAAGGTATTGTCATCATAGGAGATGACCGCTTCATGCATGCAATTGTCCTTGAAGATCTTCTAGTGGAACAAGATGGGGCGGTGGAAGACAGTGATATTGATGATCTTGACCCTTAGTGGGCCTAGGGTAATGAATGCTTGTGTTTCGTTTTTTTTTCCTTTTTTTACTACAACTACTTTTATTGTATGTATGTGTTTTTTAGAATTTCAGTAGTTTTAGGAGTCTGAATGGCTTTTGGTTACATGGATGCATTGGATACTGGTGAAGAAGACTGGGCTTTAAGTGTGTACCCATCACCCTCTTAGTGCACATTGTACCAGATAGGCGAAGTTGCTTCCCTCCCCCACTTCTCACCCCACCCCCTTCTGAATCTTCAATGTCCATGATACCATTCCACATACCTTTGCAGACCCTTAGCTTAGCTCCCACTTATCAGTGAGAGCAGGCAGTATTTAATTTTCCATTCCTGCATCACATTACTTAGGCTGCTGCTCTCCTTCTATCCAAGTTACTGCAAAAGACACCCTTTCATTCTTTTTTATGGCAGAACAGTATTCCAGACATATATGGATACTACCAAAACGTATACACATTTAAGAAATGTTATCTATGTATTGCTTTTCGAAGTTGAATTGAATTCTGGTAGCAACGTGTAGCATGGCATTTGCTCCACCATGCTTCCATGATTTTCTTTGACTGTCCTGCCTGTCACATGGTGGTACTAGCATTCATTTGATTAACACCATCTTTTGAGCAAGCATCAGCTGTGTGTGAGGTTCTCAAACACGTATGCATTTTTTTGCGTGTGTGTGTGTGTGTGTGTGTGTGTGTGTGTGTGTGTGTGTGAGATAAAACCCACAGTAGTCCTAGGCCTTCATAGTCACTCACCACTCACTCCCTGACTCACCCAGGGCAGCTTCCAGTTCTGAAAGTTCCATTCGTGGTAAGTGTTCTACACAGGTGTACCGTTTAAAAATTATTTTATATGGTGTTTTTACTTTTTCTATGTTTAAATGTGTTTAGATATACAAATACACACACACACACACACACAAAGAGGGGACCTAAAAAAATCTGAACTTTTTTGGAAGGTGGGCCTTTTAAGTACAGGCTTTCTCCACTAGGTAAGTGTTCAAGGACGTCATCGGCAGCAGTATACCAGCTGGTATTGTTGTGAGAGGCTGCATTTGGCTTTTTTTTCAATGAATCTATTTTGGAGATTCTTTCAATGCATTTGCCCATTTCATGATAGGTGATTAACATGAACAACCTGCCCACACTATGCTGACTGAGTGTTCAGCAGTTTTTGACCCAAAATGACATGGCACCCATGCCCCCCTCCTCCCATTCACCAAATCTCACTCCAAGTGACATTTTTTGTTTGTTTCCCTGGATGAAAAAAGTCCTCCAATGGAAACATTTTGCTGATGTGGAAAAGGTGAAACAAAACTGGCAGAAGCACTAAAAGGCATCAAAATTGATGAGTTCAAAAACGGTTTTGAGCCGTGGAAAAAGCGTCCTGATAGATGTATCGCATTAAGGAAAGAGTGCTTAGAAAGCAACTGAAGATTAAACATGTTAGAATAAATATACATTTTTTTCTTTTTTTTTTTTGAATTGGAGTCTCACTCTGTCGCCCAGACTTGAGTGCAGTGGCTGCTCCCGGCCACCGCAGCCTCGACCTGCTGGGCTCCGGCGATCCTTCCGCCTCAGCCTTCCAAGTAGTGGAACTACAGGCGCACGCTACTATGCCCGGCTAGTTTTTTTATTTATTGTAGAGATGAGGTTTTGCCAAGTTGCCCGGGCGGGTCTCGAACCCATGGGCTCTGGCAATCCATTCGCCTCGGCCTCCCAAAGTCCTGGGATTACAGGCTGAGACACCGAGCCTGGTCAGATATACATTTTTTAATAAACGAGTTCCAAGTTTTTTGGGGTCCCTCCTGGCATTTATACCACATTTTCATTATCCACTGATAAGTTGGTGGTAATTTAGGTTAATTCCACATCTTTGCAATTTTGAATTGCACTCCTTGTAGACATGTGAGAGCAGGTGTGTTTTTAATATAACCACCTCTGTTCCTTTGAGTAGGTACTTTTCCTTTGGATAGGATTGCAGGATCAAATAAATGGTAGATCTACTTTTAGTTCTTTGCGAAATCTCCATACTAACTTCCACAGCGGTTGTACTAATTTGCATTCCCACCAAAAGTGTGGGAATCTAGGCCAACATCAATTCTTTTTGGATTTTTTAATAATGATCATTCTAACTTGTGTAAGGTGGTATCTCATTGTGTTTTTAATTTGCATTTCCCTAATAATTAGTAACGCTGAGTATTTTTTTCATATGTTTGTTGGCCATTTTTGTATCTTTTGTCTGTTCATGTTGTGTGTCTGCTTTTGAATGGGATTATTTGCTTTTTTCTTGCTGACTTGTTTGAGTTCTTTGTAGATTCTAGATATTAGTCCTTTGTCAGCCATATTGTTTGTGAATATTTTCTCCAGTTTTGTAGGCTGCTTATTTACTTTGTTGACTATTTCTTTAAACAAAAAGTTTAAAAAGTAAAAAAAAATTAAATAGAAAAAGCTTATGTACTTAGGATATAAAGAAAGAAGATGTTTTGTACAGCTGTGAAATGTGTCTGTGTCACTCCAAAAGAGTCAAACATTTTTAAAAATTAAAAAGTCTATAAAGTAAAAAAGGTTGTAGTCAGCTGAGGTTAATTTATGGTTAAAGAAATAAATCTTAAAATAAATTGAGTGTAGCTTAATTGTCCAGTGTTTATAAAACCCACAGTAGTCTACAGTAATGTCCCAGGCCTTCACATTCACTCTCCACTCACTTCCTGACTCACCCAGAGCAGTTTCCAGTCCTGCAAGCTCCATTCATGGCCCTATGCAGATCTACCGTTTAAAATGATTTCTACTCTATTTTTTTACTGTACCTTTCTATGTTTAGATGTGTTTAGATATACAGCTATTTGTAGGCTAGTTGCCTACAATATTCAGCACAGTGGCATGCTGTGCAGGTTTGTAGCCTAGGAATTATAGGCTATACCATTTAACCTAGGTGTGTAGTAGGCTGTGCCATCTAGGTTTGTGTAAGTCCATTCTGTGATGTTTGCACAATGACAAAATCGCCCAACGACACATTTATCGGACTGTATCCTCATTGTTTAGTGATGCATTATTGTAGTTGGGACATTAACCCTGGTCATAAATAGATGGTTTGCAAACAGTCTTCCCACCGGCTGTCTTTTCACTCTGTTGACTGTTTGCTGTGTAGAGGCTCTTTAATTTGATGGCACACCACTTGCTTAGTTTTGTTCTTGTTGCCTATGTTTTGGTGTCCTATCCATAAACACTGCCAAGATCAACGTCATGAAGCTTTTCTCCTATGTTGTTTTCTAGTAGTTCTGCAGTTTCAGGTCTTATGTTAAGTCTTTTATCCATTTTGAGTTTATTTTTGTGTATGGCGTAAGATAAGGGTCCATTTCATTCTTTCATACGTGGATATCCAGTTTTCCAAACACCACGGACTGTCCTTTTTCTGTTGTGCATTCTTGGCACTCTTGTTGAGGATCAGTTGACTGTACATGCATGGATTTATTTCTGGATGCTCTATTCCGTGCCATTGGTCTATATGACTTTTTTATGCTAGCACCATGCTGTTTTGATTTGTGTATACTTGTATCTGGGTCTTCATTTTGTAAATTAAATGAGAGTCAGTGTGGTGTAAGCAAAAAGCCTAAGATGAGTATAGAGTGCCGAAAAAGAGAGCCATTCACAAATAGAACTAAGGGGAGGGAAAGTAAGACTCGGGCAGTTTGGTGTCATTTGTTCCTTGAGTGGGAATGAGTAGGTGCTGTGTAGATGATATTTCAAGATTTGGCAAAGTCATTTACCATCTTATTTTCTAAGCCAAACACTTGATCCTGGATGCTATGTCTCAATTAGGAACTGACACTTTATGGTTTCTCAAAGTTCCCCAACTGGAGTAGAAATCTAGGTGTACCCTCCATAAGACACATTCCTCTCCTTCTCCCCCATGTGACTAAAACTGCCTTCCTAAAGCAGGATAATATAATTGAGCCTCTGACTAGGAGACCAGGAATTCAGTACCAATTAATGCCAGCACCAATAATTTTTTAATAATTTGTTTCTCAGATAAATGTTTGTCTTTTCATCATTTGAAAATCAGGATGATTGACACTTCAAGATATTTCATATATTTATGGGGCAACCTTTCTCATCCATTTTTCATATTTTCTGTACCATTATGATATTTCTATATAGTCATGAAAATATAGAAATATATTTTCCCAGGTTGTCATTATGATTTATTTCCCCTTATTTTCTATTTTTCTCTCCTAACTCCTAAATCATGTCTTTTACAGTAAGCCATCAAGTCTAGGTGTTAAAAATGATCCTAAAGCTGATCTTCACTTTTCGCTAAATATGAAAATACATCAGGATAGTGCTGTTACCAGAATTCATATACAATTTGAAACATTAACAGAATTAAAATAAAACAGCTAAGCTTACCTCCTGGTTCTGCTGCTTGTCAGCTCTATCCCGTGACCTAAACTGTCTCTGTCAATTTCCTTTTCATGAAGAGAATAATCAATTCCATTTCCGAAGCTCCTTGTAAAGTCCTGAGACAACACTCTTTTGAAGTTGGCTCAAATTGGAATAATTTTTTTTAAAAATTGGAATAACAGTGTCTACTTTGAAAAATCTCTGTGAGAATTGGATAAGATAACACAATACCAGGGTAGCTCCTGTCACAGCGGGACCAAAACACTTGCAGTATCCTACAATCTCTTTCTTGCAAATTTCCTTTTCAAATGCCTACCAGTCAATGCAACTGACCAGGAAAAATAGGCATTTGATACAATATCAAAAACAGTAGCATATCTTTACCTTTCCTGTCTAGCAGCCTGGGGAAAAAGCCTCAGGATCTCTGTGTGGAGGGGCTCCACGTGTGCAAGAGTCTTCACCTTCATCTCCAGCAGGTAGTCTTTGCCAAATTTGCTTTTCAGGTGTTGGATGGACCCGATACATCTGGAGGTCAAAGGAGGGCGAACTCATAAGGCAAAGAAGAAAAAGATAGAAGATGTAGTGTTTGAGAGCCAAGAAAAAGATATACAAGGTAGTGTTTGAGAGCCTTGATTTGCTGTTAGCCTTGTCTCCAGGTCCTTCCTGCTAAATCTGAGTGCAGTGGTTCAGCTGTTTTCAGCACTCTATCCCTGTTCATAGGCAACAAATCTTCCAGCCCTGCAGCTTGGGCTCCAGTGTGGGCTCAGGACAGGCACTCACCTCAGCCTTCCAGACACCATGATGGCCACTCGGTCGCACACAGCCTCGGCCTCTGCCATGTAGTGGGTGGTCAGGAGGGCGCCCCTCTCCGTGTTCCTAAAGGTGGCCTGGATAGCCTGCCTACATTGTCAAGAGATTATTTGCAATTTAGAGAATCCTCTAATTCATCAGAAATGGGTAGTGAGTAAAAGAAACTTAACTGACACGCAGGTGAAAAATTGGCAAAAAGGGATGAGGCAAGGGAAAGACTCTTAGGAGGGCAGACGGGTGACAGCTGTTCAACTGGGAATGCACACTGGAAGAGAGGACTTTACAGGATACATTTATTATGTGGTTGTATAACGAGAGATGCTAAGCAAGAGATGGTTGTTTATGAAAAGGCTGTGTGAAGGGGAACAGGATGACTTCAAATTTAACAGCGGTGTTATCACAACCTAGGAAGATAAATGTACAGTGAACACACATGACAATAACTTTTACCCCTTAAGGAGAACTACTGTTCTCGTGCTAAGTACTGAAAACTTAATGTGATTGCGGAAATGCACACACCAACCCAAAGATCAACCGAGCAGTTAGGATGCTCAGGGATCTCCAGGCTTGACCATGGTTATTCTTACCTCAGTGGGAAGTGGCTATAAATATCATCAGGGAAAGACTTTTTTTTTGAGTCGGGGTCTCATTCTATCACCCAAGTTGGCGTGCAGTGGCACAATCATGGCTCACTGCAGCCTCTACCTCCTGGGCTCCAGCAATCCTCCTGCTTCCACCCCCCATGAAACTGACACTACAGGCAGGCGCCACCACACTGGTTAGTTTTTAAAATTTTTGGCAGAACCGAGGTCTGGCTATGTTGCCCAGGCCAATCTCAAACTCTGGGCTCAAGCAGTCCTCCCATCTTGGTCTCTCAAAGTGCTGGGATTTCAGGAGTGAGCCACGGCACCTGGCCCATTTTACGAATGATGTCGATAGTTTTTGGTTTTTTATTTTTTGCGTTAAGAAACAGTTTAAGGGTCAATCTTGCAGAAGTAAAACAGGGTGCAAACTCGCTGCAAGGCGTCTGCGCTGGCCCTGACCACGGGAACACTCCTTACCACATTTGCTGCTGTCCCTCGGGATCCATCCCGGTTGACGGCTCGTCCAGAAGCACCACCGACGGGTTCCCCAGGATGCTCAGCAGGAAACACAGCTGTAACAAGAGGAGCAGTCTGTCGGCACCCCGCTGTGGGTGCCCCGAGGGACCCCGAGCCGGCGGTACCTTTCTCTTCTCTCCCTCTGGCAAGGTCTTGGCAGGAGCCTTCAGCTGGTCCTGCAGCCGGACTGCGTCCACGAGCCTGAAGGAAACACAACTGTCTTCTTGACAAGGGGGAGGCTGACAGGCGGGTGGCTGAGCGAGGGTGGGGGTGCAGAGCTCGGAAAAGCAGTCCTGGGGGGGTGGGGCAGGGGAGGGGAGATGTCACTGGCTGGTTTGTCCCTCTCCAAAAGATAATGTTACCTTTGAAAGAGTAGGAACACGTGTCATGCAATCCAAGTACTTGTTCTGTGCTAGCTTACATTTTCATATTTTTGATATATTTTACCAATGAATACTTTTTCATTTTCATGTTTGATAGGAGGAAAAAGAACGAAGACTTTGAAAGCCAGGTAGGGAAATTCTCGTTTCACATCTGCCCAGTTCATCCCGAGTCCACCTTTAGCAAAAGCCTCCCACCCCAAGTCCCAGGAAGGCTGTCACTCCCAGCCCTCCCCTGCCCCGGGGGTCAAAACAGGTGTGGCCCCGTGTACCGCGTAATGGCAACCTCCGCGTCCCCTTTCCTCAGTCCTTTCACGGCGGCATACACCTGCAGGTGTTCCCTCACCGTCAGGCTGGGCCACAGCGCGTTCTCCTGAGGACAGTACCCCAGGAAGCCGAGGGTGTCCCCTCCGCTGCTGCCCTTCAGTGCCACCTGCGGATGGGGGTACCCTCTCAGAACCTGCATTCTGCGTCACTTCTCTCAGTAGTTCTGTGACACATTCTTCTTCACAGACCTAGAGCAACTAGGGAAACTCTACCACCTCGCTGAGTTTAATCATCTGAAATCATTTTGCATTGGAGACAGGCTGGCAGAAAGTAAGTACGTAAAAACAAATGAGTGCACAGCGAGCAACCTCATCTCAGCTGAAAGTCAGACATCCCACAAACATGGTGCCCGGCTGTCGTGGTCAACAGCTTATATCCAGTGTTTTCATCTCTGTCCGAATGAAGCATTTGGACCGAATGACTCACTAGGTAACTTCGCTCATGGGTCAGATGGCATTTGAGTACCTCCTCTGTGCCTGGGGGTGCATGGAGAACCAGACGACTAGCGCGGCTCTCACTTGGAAGTCTCATTCTGCCGAATGATTCAGGAAGGAAGCAGGCAGAGAAATAAGTCATCAGAATAAAGACAGACCAGAGGGGTGCTGTGGTGGAGATTCAGGAGACTGGGGTGGATAGGAGCAGCGAATGTGACTTCAGCTAGGGGGCCTGGAGAGGCTGTCTGCGGAGGGCCGCTTTAGCAGAGGAGACAATGCTGGTCGTGGAACAGGCCAGAGGCAAAGGCTGGCAGCAGAGCCAAGAGCGGGATGAAGCCCTGTGCTGGGGTGAAGCGTGGTGTGGAATGAGAAAGGGGAGGACAGAGGTGTGGCTGAGAGGAAGGGACGTCAGCTCTGCAGCCAGCTGCGGGACAGGAGGGAGGTGTCCTACCAGCCACAGAGCAGTGAAAGGTCCCTGCACCTGTTTAATCAGGAGAATGTTATCAACATATCAACGAGCAGTTGTTGCCTTTTCTCCCCTGTGAGCCAGATGTATCAGATTAGAACTACTGTCCAATAATGACACAAACTGAAGTCATCTGACACCTGCTGGGCAAGCCTTCAGAATATGCTGGCATAGCCCCAGTCGGTTCTCTTATGAAGGATAATGAACATTTGAAGGAAATCAGTTGTGTTCATTTAATGGAAATGTCATGGCTTCAATGGTTCATTTTAATAGCAAACTTATGGTTTCAATGTAGATGTCATGAGGCCTCTAGTCATGGGCTGAGTTAATTAATTTAACTTAGAAATGAAAAATGCAAAAGGAGCTTTCCTTGTCTCTCTCCTGATGGGTCTACATGTGAACTAAGAGTTGGTGTCCAAAGTTATTCTCGTCAGGAACCAGGAAGCTCTAAAGAGGGCTCTGAGCTGACAGTAGAAGAGAAGCAAAATACTGACTTGGGGTCCAAGAGGTGATGGAGGGAGTAGGGGGTGTTTGCAGTTGCAGGAGTCAGTTGGGATTGGCCACATCACCAACATTTATGGAGAGGCACCTTCATGAACACCGACTCTAGCCTGCTCCAGAGGGACTGCAGATACCTGTTTTCCTTTGTCTCTTTGGTGGGATATTTGTTGGTGGTGTTCCTGGTAGTTCTTGGCAGGATGGGCAACCCCTCTGCCTCATATTCTTTTCTGTGTCTCCTCTGGACATACTTTCCAAAGGAGTTCTAAAGGTTTCTAATCTTCCACCATGGAATCTGTTTTATCTCTGAAAGGTTTTCGCTCGATCGACAATGTCTCTATCTTTAATAAAACTAAGCTCTTTCCCCATTTGCCACTGAACACGACCAAACTGCAAGCACAGAGTCTTCCGCCTCCCTGGGGCTCATTTTTTAAAGCTATGTTTTGAAAACACTCCCAAGAAATGCGCATGTGCACCAAAATGTACATTCCAGTAACTAAGTACTTTGTCAAGGACAGAGAATGCAACTGTCTAATAAAATTCTTAAAACAGTTTTATTCAAGATTGAAGTATTACGTACTGGGAAGATGTTTGCTAAAAATGCACTTTTCTGTGTTTTAAGGCAGTATAAATAGGATCTGTATGGATTTGGATATTGACTTCTGACCTAGTACTAGACAGTATCAATAATAATAATAATAATAATAATATAATCATTCATTGAATGACGATTCCCTTTCAGTGCTTGATGTTTATGTACACTTATGTGATAACTGGTGAACTTCTCTTGTGTTTTGTATGAATCACTTCAACCATCTAATGATTAAATGGCATTTTGCTACTTCTGCAAATCTATTTTACACCATATGATATCTTCTCCACATAATCCACCTACCTGTCCGGCAGTTGGTTTTGTGTCTCCAGTTATGACCTTAATGGATGTACTTTTACCAGCTCCGTTGTGTCCTAATAATCCTAAAACCTCACCTGAAAAAAAAATTGTTTTACTTGATTCATCCATTTTTATAACAAAATTAAGAATAAAGCATAGGTGAAGTCTCACCATGGGACAAGCACTGTGTTATATGTTTTATATGTAGTGTCTCATTTCTGTGTAAAAACCGCCCTGAGAAGTTGTTATCAATGCCCCTTCTTATGCATTCGGGGAGAGAAGCTCTCAGCTTGAGGTTGCTTGGTCAAGGTCACACTGATGGGAAGTGGCAAAGCCATTCATGCAAGCCAGATGTATCAGATTCGGACCACTGTCCAATAATGACACAAACTGAAGTCATCTGACACCTGCTGGGCAAGCCTTCAGAATATGCTGGCATAGCCCCAGTCGGTTCTCTTGTGAAGGATAATGAACATTTGAAGGAAATCAGTTGTGTTCATTTAATGGAAATGTCATGGCTTCAATGGTTCATTTTAATAGCAAACTTATGGTTTCAATGTAGATGTCATGAGGCCTCTAGTCATGGGCTGAGTTAATTAATTTAACTTAGAAATGAAAATGCAAAAGGAGCTTTCCTTGTCTCTCTCCTGATAGGTCTACATGTGAACTAAGAGTTGGTGTCCAAAATTATTCTTGTCAGGAACCAGGAAGCTCTAAAGAGGGCTCTGAGCTAACAGTAGAAGAGCTTTGTGTCCAACCTTTTCTAACACAGAAAGAGACATTTCTTATGGCTACTTTATTCTTCTGCTTGGAAAAACAATGCTTCCTCTTCCCTGCATACTCCTTGCGTAGACAGCTGGCAATAATGACCGGCTTCTGTAAATGACAAGAAAACCATGTCAGACCTTAATTTTCTCCACTAACTTTGAAAAAACTCTGTTCTCCCGTTGGCTGGATCCTTTGCTGCCCAAACCATGTATCACAGAAGACTTTCTACTAGGTGACATGCTTACTGGCCACTCTCCTATCCTAGCACTTATTTTTGGAGAGAAGAGACTATCATTCTTTTCTTCTACGAAGGGAGTGTTTTAGGAGCACCTTATTTTATACAGCCTGCCTGTCCTCTCAGAACGGAGCAAAGAGACTTGGAGATGCTTAATAATGACACAAATTGAGGTCATCTAACACCTGCAGGCCAAGGTGTTAGAGAAAGAGATGCACTGAATATCCCAAAGGACAAATCAAACGCTGTGGCTTGGACTTTACCCTGAACTTTGTACCGTACACTCTCTCTAAGATGCAGTAATATGTGTCGCTTTGCTCAGTTTCTAAAATTACTTCTTGGCTTTTATAATTTCAATTGTACTCTACTTTTATATTTTTTAAATTCTTTTTATTTTTTGAGTTGGAGTCTCACTCTGTCGCCCAGACTGGAGTGCAGTGGCCGCTCCCGGTCACCGCAGCCTCGCCTGCTGGGCTCCGGAGATCCTTCCACCTCAGTCTTCCTAGTGGCCGGAATTACAGGCATGCGCTACCTCGTCCGGCTGATTTTTTGATTTATTGTAGAGATGAGGTCTTGCCGCCCAGGCAGGTCTCAAACCCGCGGGCTCAGGCAATCCACTCACCTCAGCCTCCCAAAGGCGCGGGATGACAGGCTGAGCCACCGAGCCCGGCTTGTACTCTACTTTTAAACTTACTAAAAGACAAAAAAGAGGCCACTTGACTTTTAATCATCTGTTCATTTCTATGTAAAAATGGAACTACCTACTAAAACTGTGATCCCCATTTGTAAGAAAGAGACAAATTCAAAATCATTTGAGAATCGGATTGGTAGACTGACTATTTGAATGGAAAAACATTTGTGTGATGTGATGAAATCACTGCTTTATATGTTGTACCTCATCAGAATTTGTAGAATTCAAGGCATTTGCTGTCCTCACTCTTTCCATCTGAACATCTTCATCTTCTCCTTCTGGCTCTTCTGGATTTTGACGTACATCACTGCTTCTTGGAGAAATTCTAGAGTCAAAACCATTCATTAATAATTGATTTCTGGCTCTCATCATTGTATCAAAAAATTGCATATTAAAAATCTTTTGCTTGAGTAGACTGGATAATTAATAAACCATCATAATCTCCCTTCACAAGCCTCATTCCTGTAGAGCCTCCTGGCTGATCTGTAGAAATACTACTTTTTTTGGTCATACTTCTCTGTCAACTCTGGTCCCCTCTCCAGTCTGAAGGAAGTGGATCCCCCTTTTCTCTCTCTTTCTAATCTACTTTCTAAATAAACCATATTTTCTAATCTAAAAAAAAGGAATATTATTTCTTTCAATATCAGTGGTGACTTGGAACCTAATATCTGGAAAAGTATTTTTATATCATAGTTCAATGAAGTAATTTTGCTGGGAACCCTAGCTTTGGCACCAACATGCTCCATTATTATGTTTTCATGGGGAAAATGGGACAGAATATTTGTAATCAGGACTATCTCAGAAAATACAAGTTAGATGCTTGATCTCTTACTAAGCCTGACTATTTCTTTGGAATATATATCAGGTTAACTATTTTTCCCCATTCTAAGTCTGGTCTTCATGCCCGGAATATAGCTGTTCTAGTCTCTTGTCCCTTGAACTTCTCCTCCATACTGATCTTACAAGATTTCTCAAAGGTCTGCTTCCATCTTGGCAGTCTCCCATTCAACTAGGTAACAGTAAAAGATGAAACTGATATGGTATGAGAGACACAAAGGGAACAGGTGCTTATGGTTACATCATTGGATGGTGCCAAGTCTCAGCTTTTAAGTCCCATGAATAACGGAGCCAGTCTGTGATCTACCTGCTGAGCTTCGCACTAACACAGGAAAAGAACACAGATATTTCTGTCCTTGGCCTGTTGGCTATCCTTCTATTTCTTTTTCCTGGATGAGCAGTGTTCCAGCAACTGCCAGCTTCTTCAAATAGATTGTTCCTTAAACGAAATCAGCCATGCTTAACTTTTCCCAGTGCTCCACTGTGCCTAGTGTCAGATGGAGCCCTAAGACTCAATGTTTCAGGTCTGCTTCTTCCACTAGGTGATAGTCTTCTTTGGCTTAGGTATCTAGATTCATGTTATTTTTACTGGCAACCAATCCTAGCACTTGGTACCTTTTTGTTCTATGCATGAAAAGACATTTTAAATATTGATCCACAAAATAAAATAATTCAATTTGATTTCTTCCAACCTAAAGAAAAGATCTCTTCTCATTGATGTCTTTCCAAACTTCCATTCCAGACACCGAAGGATAAAAAGAAAAATGATAAAGTGGAGAATAGGCTGGGAATAAAGAGAGAGATAGGCACAATTAGAAAGATGAAAAGTGATTATTTTAATAACAGATGAACTAGAAATAATAACTGGAAATAATTGGACTTCTATAAAAACACTTTCAGTGAAATCATTACAAAAGTCCAACGACCTATTTGACAAATTACGAACCTATCAAATTCATTCCCATACTTGTCTAAAGAAGTATTAGAAATAACTGTAATGATGTGATACCATAACTTTATGTCATTTCCTCTAATTGTTGTACAGTGTTCTGAAAATTTAGGAGGCACATTATTTAGTCAGTTGATCTTTAGAAAAGTGACCACTCCATATCTTACAAACATTATATCTTCTTAGGTTACAGATATCTATATCTCCACCTTAATAAAAAGTTTCACAGTATGTACAGGAATTAAAATAAGCATAATGAAACCACAATAATTTTAAAGAAGTCTGTTCTTACAATTAGGAATACCAGAACTGGCAACATGTCACTTGATTCTTCACCATTGAAAGACTGTAAAAAAAACTGCAAAAGAAAACAGAATTGTTAAATAGAATTTTTGTTTTGTGCATTTTGTCCACAAACGTGCGAATTGGCCCTAAACAGCCCTGCCACCATGTCCTTTGACTTTATCATGAGTTTCAGGTAGCGAGGGGCTCTCTTTCCTCCTGAGGTCTATGAGCTTTAATTTGAAGCAATAGTATTTATCAGTTGCTAATCACGTGGCTAGAGAGTTCTGAGGATTGGTACTAACCCCTCAAGCAGTGAGGGACAGGGTTTCTTCTCACACAGAGCTTTCCACACCTTTCTGTGCTCACTGTTCCTCTTCGTGGGGTATCTTCTATTCCTTTCCTTTCCCAAAGATATACCCCTAAACATTTTTCCTTTTGTAGACGCATAAGTATCAATTAGCCAGAAAAAGGGGACTTTATTTATATTGGATACATCTTTAAAACCCTGAAGTCGCAAGGATGATTGACATTTCCTTTGCCTCCTTCTAAAGCCAAACATGCCCAAGAGTGATCAAGACCCCAAACGAGTAGAAGGGCTTCTCTATTTCCACCACCCATGACCCTTCATCCCCATGCATTAACCAGGACCAGATTTTCTACTCCAGGTCAGCTGGAGCATATTGTCCTGTCTGGGAGAAAATCAACTGGATTCCATGAGGTAGAAATCTTCAAGCCTCATGCAAGTTCAACATACTGTACTAGTGTCCCAACACTGGGCAATGCTTTCCAGTTGGTCGTGAGTTCCAGGACACTGTGATAGACAGTGGAGGTGGTGTTACTTACATGAAAAGATAAGAACAAACAGCCAACCAATGTGGCAGGTGGTATGAAAAAGGTGATGAAGAATTGTAGACTGGTTTCAAAGGTACTAATCATAAATCCAGCCACAGAGAATACGGTCATCTAAAGAAAATACAAATATGAATGTTAATCACTCTGAATTTTAATATAAGCTCCAAATTGAGATGGCTCATCTAGAAGCTATTACTAATTTCAATTCTAACCTCACAAACCAAATTGAAATCAGAATATATCCATTAACATGTTATTTCAGTGACAGCCAAATTCCTTTAGCCTTGAGTTTCCTGAATGCAAGATCACTTGGTAAATCTAGGATCCAATATACAGAATATTTCAATCAAAGAAAGGGAAAAAAATTGGTGTGCATTGTCTTTGGAGGGAAAATTCACAGTAGTAGATAAGCAGAAATAGGGAAAAATTGAAATTAGTATCTAAAGGAATAACAAACAAGACTAAAAGAAGACTTTTGCTGACTATCAGTGAGAAATATAAGCATTTAACAGCCTGGAATGGCTTAAGCAGAAGTACTAGAATACAAAATTCAGGTACCCCCGAAGTCGTTAGACTTTCTTTTCTAAAGCACTGCAAAGACCTCCTAAATGTTTTTGTACTCTTAATCTCTCTGTCTTGCAAACTATCATTTTTATGGCTGTTAAAGTCTTCTTCCTAAAAATTTACCTCTGATCATATTTCTCTTCTGCAGTCTATGGAATAAATTCTTGAGCACATCATTTAAGGACAGCCAGGGTTCCAACCGTTATTTTTGCTATGACTATGACCATGTTTATTATGCACCTCATTTTCTGTCTATATCCACATGAGATTTTTACCAGTTTCTGGGATAAGCCTGGTTTTTCTACCTTCTAGGCTTCCATTTATTTCTCATTTTATATTTGTGCCCTCAGACTTCTTATCTGTTGAAATCTTGCTTTTATAGGTTTTACCTTTTAAAACATCTGCTCCTATTTTCATAAATTAATCTCTCTTTTATCTGTTTTTCCTAGACCTCTTTATTACGCGGTTGTATAATTGACTTTTAAGATAGAAAATAATTCTATTATCTATCCATAGACAATTTTTTTCTTATGATGCTTTTAATAAGTGCCTGTTTACTAATCTGTTTCTGCTTTGAGATCTATTTCAGGGTTGAGACTGTATATTTTATCTTTTCTCCCATTGCCAATCTTAACTTGTAACACATTGCAGAAGTCAGCAATCTTTATTGAACTGATAATTTACTTTTTTGCCATGCTAAAATTGCAGGAAATTAGAATAGATACTTATGAATTACAAACTTTTTTCTCTTAATTTAGTTAAAATAAATGTGGCTTTATGGAATTAATTCTCAGTAGAGTCTGGAGAAATCATTCCTAGTTTTAACCATGCTAGTGACAGAATGGGTAATCTTGTGTTTGTGGGGAGTCTTTGGGCTTATTTGTTGTTCGGTAAAAAGATGATATAGATGGCTTCCAGGTTTCTTTCTAGCTTAATATTTTATCGTTCCAGAAGAAATTTGGCTACTTTTAAAGAAATACAAGAATGGAAATAGGAAAAGAAAAAGGTGCAGATTTTGAAAAGGATACGTAAATAGGCAAATGTAAAATATTTTAGACCGAATATTATCATTCAACTGAGGATAAAATTTAAAATATCACTCAGAGCTCTTTGTTAAATATATACAATAAATGCCTACAATAAGCATACTTACAACATAGAAGCAAAATGACCAAATGCCACTATTTTTTCTCCCCTTGCGAAAAATGAACGAAATCACATATGTCATGAAGATAAGGGAAAAGGAAAAACCAACAGCACATGGGATCTGAAATCAACAGGAATGTTAAGCTTAGTTACAGACAAATGCAATCCAGGAAAATATTTGGGATCCAAGACAGTGCTACAGCACAGGATTTTATAGTTATTTAACTTAGGACTATATAAATATTAATGAAAAGTTTAAATTTTCAAATTTTCTGACTAAATCATACAATGATATTTGTTCTATAAATACTTTCACTTACTTGAACAATATGATTCAAAACTGCAAATATAGTGTCATGGAAGTTTAAAATGTGGTCCATTATATACATAAAAAGGAAGATCGTGAAAAACAGGGGAACATCCACCAGTGCCTGCCCAAGCCAGTAAGCAGAAGGGAAGAGTCCTGAAATCCGTAGCTGGGACCAAGCTTTGTTCTGATTAGGAGACAGCAAAGAAACAAAGTGATATTTCAGTTTTAAGTTTAAGGAAATGTGGATTATGCAAGAAACTGTTCAAGCAAAAATTTTTATTTGTAATCATTCTAGATTATAGCTACAAATATTATTCACTTTAACAAGATTCTCAAGGCATTTGTTGACACATTATAAATTCATTTGGATTCATGAAAGAGTGTCTGTGAATGAATGTTTATAAGTTGTCAGTTCAACATTGGAGTTTTCTTTTCATCTTTCCAGTGTTCATGTTTCCAAAATATCATTTTCTTTGATGTCAACAATTTCTCCTTAATTAGCTTTTCTGAGGTATAATTTTCAAACAAGAAGTATCTGTATTAAAAGTACAGTTGAATGAGCTTCGATGAATGCATGCATTCCTGTAACACAATGATAATTAAGGTACAAAACATCCCCCAAAGTTTCCCATTCTCTTTGGCAGTCAAGAGTCTTTGCTGCTGGTTACAAGCACCCACAAGTCTGCCTTCTGTCACTATAGATTAGTTTTATCTTTCTAAGAATTTCATATAAATTAAATCATTCAGTATGTATTCTTTTGTGATTGTCATCATTCCCTTGGTATAATGGTTCTGAGACTCATCTGTATTGATGCATCTATTAGTTGTTAATTCTTTCATATTGCTGAATAGTACTTCATTGTTTGGTCATTTTAGCATTATTTGTTTTAGGTAATGTGTAGAACTATCAAACAGATTATTTTCCTGATTACACAAGACATTAGTCATATTTTCATCTGTGTATTTTCTTTAGCAAAATATTGGTTCAAATATTTTGTCCATTAAAAATAGGTTATCCTCTATTACTGAGGTATAAGAGTTCTTTACATCTTCTTGATAAAAATCTTTTGTCAGATATATAAGTATGTCCACTCTAATGTTGAACTGACAATTTATTTATTTTTTTTATTTTTATTTTTTGAGTTGGAGTCTCACTCTTTCACCAAGACTGGAGCGCAGCGGCCACTCCTGGCCACCGCAGTCTCGACCTGCTGAGCTCCGGCGATCCTTGCGCCTCAGCCTTCCAAGTAGCCAGAATTACAGGCATGTGCTACCATGCCTGGCTGATTTTTTGATTTTTTTGTTGAGATGAGGTCTCGCTGCCCAGGCGGGTCTCGAACCCACGGGCTCAGGCAATCTACTCACCTCAGCCTCCCAAAGGCACAGGATTACAGGCTGAGTCACCGAGCCCGACTTGAACTGACAATTTATAAAGATTCATTCAAAGACACTCTTTCATTAATCCAAATGAATCTGTAATGTGTCTGCAAATTACTTAACAATCTTGTTAAAATGAAGATACTGATTCAGTAGTTCTGAGTATTTTTCTCCCAGCCTGTGGCTTGCTTCTTTCTTTCTTTCTTTCTTTTCTTTTCTTTTTTTTTTTTGAGTTGGAGTCTCATTCTTTCACCCAGGCTCGAGTGCAGTGGCATTCTCATTGGCCACTGAACTTCGACCTGCTGGGGCTCAGGCAATCCTTCCACCTCAGCCTTCCAAGTAGCTGGAACCATAGGCGTGTGCCACTGCTCCTGGCTAATTTTTTGATTTCTTGTAGAGACAAAGTCTTGCCCAGTTGCCCAGGCTGGTCTCAAACCCCTGGGCTCAGGCAATCCTCTCTCTTCCACCTCTCAATGTGCTGGGATTACAGGTGTGAGTCACCACGCCTGGCTGCCTTTTTAGTTACAAAGAGGAAACAATTTTAACTTTGATGATGTTCAAGTTATCTATGTTTTTAGTGGTATGATTTTCTTCTGTCCCATCTAAAAATATTTGTCTACCATAAGATCTATGATTAATTTCAAATAATTTCATGTATCATGTAGGCGAATATTAACATTTTTTAAAGACAGATATCAACTTATTCTAGCACAATTTGTTGAAAAGTCTAATCTTACCCTCATTTATGTTTTGTGGCAGTTTTATCAAAAATCAATTGATGATATATGTGTGGGTTCTTTTCTGAAACGTCTATTCCATTTCACATATCTATATGATTATTCTTACTTAGTACATTAGATTCTTAATCACTGTAAGTTTCTAGGTGAACCTGAAAGTCAGAGCATAAGTCTTCAAACTTTGATTTTCTTTTTCACATCTATCTAGCTATTCCAGGTTCTTTGCATATCCGTATACATTTCTAGAATAATTCTCTATCAGCTACTTATTTATATTTTCATTTATTAAACTTGCTTTTATTTTTGTAACTTAGAATCCATACTGGAATTGACTGCTCAATTAAACAGACATAAGCATCCTTATAAAAAGCCTATAATTATATTTTTTTCAGCTTCCAATTATAGAAAGTAGTGGAAGTTGCAATTGCTTGTTATTACCTTATAATCCTCAATGCTGCTCATGGCAATATAAGGTGAACAACATGATGCTAAAATCAGCCAAAACACGGTATATCCTAGAAATGCAAATGAATCATTCGATAGGCCCTAAAAATGCAAAGAAGACAATAAACTGAATGAACAAATTCAAAGTTCATTTTCTCAAAATACATTGTTAAAATTTTAAACTGAGATTACATGATTTTGCATTAGGTAATTTTAAACTGAGTTCATGCAATTCTGTCTTAAGTCTCTTCTGAAGCCTCCAAATTCTTTCATTATCCTTCTAGTTTTGAAGCTTGACTTTTGACTTTATACTCACATACATAAGGACAGTGATTCAAAGCAGATGAATGAATTGATAACATTTGGAAAGTGATAAGAGCAAGATTGTCCTATTTTCTTGCCTGGTGATTCTAAAATGTATTCTGGTGCTTAAAAATAATTCACAGGTGATACATTCAATTGCCAAATTCCTAAATAATCTTTTGTTATTTCAAATGTGACAATTTGAGTCAAAAAATCATATCAGATATTTTAGGATTTGGTGATGGTAAGTTAACTTTTTAGGTATGCCATGAGACCAGATATATATTGGTTGAGAATTCAAAAGTAGAAATGAAGGACTAGAAGGGAGAGTGAAAACACCGAAAAAACCTTTGCCCTTAGTTACACTTTCTGTTGTTCCAGTTTGTAATAATATTTCAAGATAGAAATTTCACAAACTGTCTTCAAAGCCAGTCCCACATTTATTTTTATGATTCACAGAGCTATTGTTTGATTAAGCACATTACTGAAAAAAGTTCTCACCAGCTTTCTTCAGCTTGGTGATCACAAAGACACTTGCTAACAACAGAATGGTGAGGTTAAAGCTTATTGTCAGAATGCTTCCAGAACACCCAGAGGGCTGTGGAGGTTCATCCCTTAGTGGCAAATCTATTGACTTTAGGCAGTGCAGAAGCAAGGTCTCAAACTACAGACCTTAGGGACAATGAGTAGGTAAAGTCTAACAGAGAGTAAAATGAGTTGCTAAAGATATTGGTTAAAGTTAACATGTTGGGCACATGAATACAAGGTCAACCAAGGTGGTTGGTATGGGACCTACTCTAGTTGAGACAGGGGGATGTGATAGGTGAAGGTCCAAGGTAATTGGCTCAATTATTGTATCCTGCTCTCAGAAACTGGAAAGTTGAAAAGATCTTTACAGTCATATAAGGTTAATTAAACAAACCACAGCATGTATTCGAAAACGGAGTAACACTGGATGGGTGACTAAAGCCTTTCACGTGAATGATTAAGTTTCTTGCTCGACCTCAGTAAAAGACATTTTTTATTTCCTGAGCACGCAATGAGATATGGTGTGAGAAGGTAATTGAAAATTTTGCTGGAATATATAAAAATGATGATGGATCTGTGGTACATTTCGTGTAAACATCAGTGCATGATTATTGACCGCACATATTATCATAAAATCCTAGAATTGAGTAAGATGTAGATAACGTGATGACCTTAACTTTCACTTATGTATTTAACAATTTATGTATTTAGCAAATTCACGTAATTTAACAGTTAAGTTATTTAGTGCTTATCATGTTCTAGGCCTTTTCCTCGGTACAGGGTATTAATATAATGTTAAAATACCCGAGCCCTGTGCTCCGCGAACTCTTTGATTGGGAGAAATATATTTATAAAGTAAAACAAAAAGGAATCATTACAAACTATGAAAGATATTCTGGTTTCTAAATTTAAAAGACTGTATATATTCCAATCATTTGGGTCTTTGTTTAGAAATAGGATGTTTCATGCTCCACAGGTGGAAAAAGATGGTTTGAAGGTCTAAGGCAGGCCAAGGGAATTAATAGTTTTGACACGAACTTGGAGTAATTCTAATGGAGACAGTCTGCAGTTTTAGCCTGAACTTTTCTCTGAATTTCTTTTCTTGTAGCGTTTCTAAACTTTATAACAAAATCCACCATCCTTCCTCCCTCCCTCCCTCCCTCCCCCCTTCCTCTCTTTCCTCTTTCCTTTCTTCTTTCTTTCTCTCCTTCCTTCTCTCCTCCTTTCTTTTGTTGGTTCATTATTTTTGTGCTCGTCATGATCCTGACAGTTTCACTTTTTGTCACCACACATTCTCTTTGAAAAATGTTTTGCCAGTTCTAGCTTTCATTTTTTAAATGGAACTCTTGCAGTGAGCTGGGATCATGCCACTATTCTCCATCCTGGACAACGGAGTAAACCTTCTCTCAAAAAAAAAAAATTAAAATTGTAGCTCTGAAAGTGTATTGATGATCATGAATCCAAAATTTCATTTACTATACAGTGGTTTACTCAAGAAGAATAAGATTCTAGCATTTAAAGGGGTGATTTGGAAGATTATTGATGGAGGAGAATCAGGAATCAGAAGTAGGATTACGTACTTACATCCATAAATGTGCTTCTGTCAGTCTGGATACGTGCTGAGGGTTTAAACATTCCAAGTAGTCCATTGCTAACAATATCCATAAGAACAGGGAAGCAATTCAATCTCTTGGCATTGCATGTTAATGAAAAGCTGTAATTCTAAAATATAACAAGCAAGGTTACAAATTCTCAAAGAGCTTTGATTTTTTGGCAAATAAGTCAAAATGCAATTTTTTAACTTAAGAGATCATGTTTTTAAAGTGTTTTCAAATAATCAAAACAAGAACAAACATTAAAACACTGTGTAAGTCAAAGCAAACACTGTGTAAGTCAAACAAAAAATGTGTATTGTAAAACAGAATCACGTATCTGATTTTTAAGACATCAGGTGTTTTGCTTAAGGATAGGATCACATGGTACGTGTTTATTGTTTAAGAGCAAAACAGAAGTTTTAGAATTATATGTATTATAAAATAATGGAGAGGAAATATGAATTTTTGGACTTAAATATTCACTTGACAATACATATTCTATAGTATGTATTTTGCTAATATACAGTTTGTGTTGGTAGGCAATGATCAATATGTACTTAAATATTTATGCCAATGAATACAATTCACTAAGTGATAAAAATAGTATCTTTTTGTTTTTTGTTTGTTTTTATTTCTTAAATTGAAGACCTGAGTATATTGAGATTATATTGACTTTCCACAATTTGGGAAAAATTATTAAATAAGAGAAGCTTACATTTTTATTTCCAGACACTAGGATGGCTCCATTATAAGATGGGTCATCTGTGCCATTTCTAGTTCCAAATGCATCCACTTCCAACGCTATGTTCTGGTGTTCCACAGAATGTATGAAGTCATCGATGCTTCCCCCTAAGGTGTAGTTAAATATATTAGGTATCATGGAACTAAGAAACTAAGACTTAAAGTCAAGTTGTGCAGTCAAATGATCATTAATGTTATTATGTGATATTTACAGTGATATGGACCGTCAGGGTATTTGTCCACATGATAGCATGTTGCTACTGTGAATTAAAAATTTATTTACCTTTCATGAGATTTACTTCATAACATATTTATTTGCTGGAGATTATTACTAGTGTAAAAGTTTTTGGGGAGTACCATATCGCTTTTGGAATCGTTTTTTAAATTATTTTTATTTTTTATACTGCAATGAATGACCATAACCCATAAGGTTTCAATGACACAGATTATTTCTCCTGATTAACCACCAAATTTGCTAAAACTCATTTCACTACTGCCAGATTTTTAAATAATTTTCAAAATGTTTTTTAATAAAGGAAGACAACTTGTAGAATGGCAATGTGAGGAGCTCTGCAGAACTTTTTGCCAGAAAAATGACCACAACTTAGAAAAATTCCTTAAAAGACAACAAAATCTTTTGAAATTGTCCTAAGGGCAAACAGAAAGTGAAGAAACATTTATTTAAGAAAATCTATCAAATTTCAGCAAGAACACTGAAAAAGTGTGGCATTTGAGCTACAACCAGATACCTTCACTCCCCACTTCCCTCCCTCCCAGATCAACATAACAGAAGCTTATTCTGAAAAAATCTCAAGGGTTCTTCCTCTCCAAGCCCAGCTGAGGGCTATCGTATCTTCCTGGGAGAGACAATCTACCAACTTCTCTTAATCCTCCAGCTCCATGCTGCAGAAGCTCAGTATTAGGCAAGAGTGACTGAGAGATCTCTTCTTCTACCCATTATCTACTCTTAAGGTGGAAGTTCTATCCTAGGCACAAAAGTCCAAAATACTGGGGCCCAATCATCCTTGCCCCATCCGACTTGAAGGGCAGAGTGTCCATGACAAGAGAGTCTCTATGACAGAGAGGTAAGCTGAGAAAACCAGAGGCTACTACTACTCCAGCTCAAGCACCCTGTTCCACTGCAAGAGAATTGGGCCACGGTCTATGCTTCCATATCTTGGAGCAATGGTGCACAGGTTTTCCTCAGGGATACCACAAGAACAGAGAGTGCTGAAACTCTTCCCAGAGAAACTATCTTTATCTGGGACAGAGTTTTGGGAAGTTCAAGCCTAAGAGTGCACTAAAAACCACGGCGATTTTGTTAGTACGCAAATTATGGGAACCCACCCTACAAACAAGACCATATTTATAGGAGCTTCCCCTGTCTGTGATTTTACTTTCTACAGTCTGAAAATATTAAATGGAAAACCTACAAATAAACAATGCACAAGTTTTACATTGCACGCCATTCTGAGTAGCATGATAAGATCTCCCACCGTCCTGCTTCCTCCCACCCAGGATGTGAATCATCCCTTAGTTTAGCATGTCCGCTACTTGATCATTAGTCATTTAGGAGCTGCCTTAGGGATCAGATTAACTGTCATGGCAATCATAGTGCTGTATTCAAGTCACCCTTATGTTACTTAACGGTGGCCCCAAAGTGCAATAGTAGTGATGATGCTGGCAATTAAATATGCCAAAGAGGAGCCATAAAGTGCTTCGGGTAAGTGAAAATAAAAAAAGGAAGTTCTTGATTTAAGGGAAGAAAAAAAAATCATATGCTGAGGTTGCTAAAATCTATGGTAAAAACAAATCTTCCCTTTGCAAAATTAGGACAATAAAAGGAAATTTATACTAGTTTAGTTGCACCTTAAACTGCAGAAGTTTTAGCCACACTGCATAAGTGCTTAGTTATAATGGAAAAAAGCATTAAATGTATTGGTGGGAGAAATGAATAGAAATGTGTTCCTCTTGACTGCAATCAGGTTTTGTATTATCCATGATTTCATGCATCCACTGGGGGCTTGGGATATATTCTCTGTGGATAAGACAGAGCTACTGTAATTGGATCAGAATGTGGGGGGAATGTATGCTCATGGGCATTTTGGAAACAATAGACCAATCAGTCTCCAATTAGTGGAGACTAACATCTGAATGTGGTACCCTTAGAGCCAGCTAGTTTACCAAAGACATCAAAGAAAAAGACAAAGAAAGCCTTACTAAGCCCACTGCCATCTCAGAAAGCCTTACTATGCCCATGGCCAAGGTTATGCCCTCTGAAAAGCAGCACCAGTGTTGTACAAGGCAGAAGAAATAGAATTCACTAAAATAATCCAATCAAGTCACTAGACAAATAAGCAAATCATGATAAGCCCCAAAGAAATGGAATATAATTATTTAGAGTGACTATAATGTATTATTTTCAATGTCTAGTTTTCAACTAAAAATTATAAGACATGCTAAAAACTAAGAAAGTGTTACTCTCATACAGGAAAAAAAGGCAACAGGTACTGCCTTTGAGAGGCTCATACAGCAAACTTAGAAAACAAAAACTTCAAAGCAGCTGTTATAAATATGCCTAAAAAACTAAAAAAAAAATACTACTTAAAGAAGTAAAGGAAGGTATGATGACAGCGTCTCTTTAAATAGATAATGCTAATAAAGAAATGAAAAAGGCCAGGCTCGGTGGCTGAGCCTGTAATCCCAGCACTTTGGAAGGCTGAGGTGAGTGGATTGCCTGAGCCCGTGGGTTCGAGACCAGACGGGCAACTTGGCAAGACCTCATCTCTACAATAAAATACAAAATAGCTGGGTGTGGTAGCATGCGCCTGTAGTTCCTGCTATTTAGAAGGCTGAGGCGGAAGGATTGCTAGAACTCAGCAGGTTGACGCTGGAGTGGCCGTGAACGTGCCACTGCACTCCAGCCTGGGCAAAGGCGTGAGACTCCAACTCAAAAAAAAAAAAAAAAAAAAAAAAGGAAAGAAATGCAAAATACTTTAAAAAGAACCAACTAGAAATTCTGGAGTTAAAAATTATAATAAATGAAATAAAAAATTCACTGAGAGAGCTCAACGTAGATATGAATGGGCAAATGAAAGAATTAGCAGATTTGTATACATATTGAAATACATTATACAATCTGAAGAACGGGAAAAAATTCAAGTAAAATAAACAGAACCTCAGATAAGTGTGGAACATTTTTGCTCACACTATTTCACATGTGATAATAGTACTGCAAGTAGAGGAGAGAGATTTTTTTAAAAGAGGAAAATAGCTGAAGAAACAATGACTGAAAACTTCCCAAGTTCGATTAAAAACTGTAATGTATACATCTAGGGAGTTCAGTCAACTCCAAGTAGGATACATGCAAAAAGATCCACACCAGACACATTGGAGTAAACTTGGGTGCAGCCAAAGGCAAAGAGAAACCTTTGAAAAAAGCAAGAGAAAAATAACTAGTGATGTACATGAAAACACCAATAAGATACTAACTGATTTCTCATCAGAAACCAGGGTGGTCAGAACATGGTGGGATTATACAAAGTGCTGAAAAAGCTTTTCAGCCAAAAACCTTATATTTAGTAAAATTATCTTTCAAAGGTGAATGTAGAACAGAACTTTCCATGATCATCAAAAACAGCAAATTTGTTACTAGCAGACCTGCCTTACAAGAAATACTTAAAACTGAAAGCAAGTGACCCTAGATGGAAATTTGAATTTAAGTGAAAAGGCCAAAGAGAATCAATAAGCATAATTATATGACTATAATAGCCCAAATAAATGTATATTTCTTCTCCTTTCTTCCATTATTTAAAAAGCAGTTGTATAAAACTATGTATATAATTTTATTATTGCATCTACAACATATAAATATGTAGCATATTTGACAATAGCAGCACAAAAGAGGCAAGTGAAAGCATAACTGTATTGGAGTTAGGAAATCACATTAGATGATAACAAATTCACAGGAACAAGTGAAAAGAACTAGAAATTATAAAAAAACTTAGTTTCAATGTGTTATATTCCTTCCGTATAGCGCTATTTGCTATCCCCATTTTGATGTTATTATTAACATTACATCTATATGTTTTTAAAACCAGAAATATATTGTTATAATTATTACTTTACAAGATTTTATGTCTTTTAAAGAAGCTGAGAAAAGAAAGGACAGCAAGTATATATTTATAGACTTTGTTATATTAATCTTAAATTTGTGTAAACCATAAGTATATTTAGATAATTTAAGATGTATATATCAAGTTAAAGAATAACCACCAAGAATGTAATTTAAAAATATAATAAAAACTTATGAAGATAATTAAAATGTTAGACTAGGGCAACCCCATACGGTCCCGTCCCACTGTGGGAGCTTTTCTGTCCTCTCAATAAATCCTGCTCTCTAAAAAAAACAAAAATCAAACTAGAAAATACTCAATGCAAAATAAAACAGCAAAGGAGGAAATAGAGGAACAAAAAAAGACATACGGAAAACAATGAAATTGCAGGCATAAGTCCTACATTATCAGTAAAAATATTAAATGTGGATATAATAACTAATAATCTCAAAGGGCATAGATTGTCAGATTGAACTAAAAAAACACTATTCAATAGTATGCTGTTTATAGAAGACACATATTACATTTAATTGGTACAAACAGATTGAAAATAAAAGGTGGAAAATATATTTTGTGAAACAAAATTATAGGAAGATTGGAATGGCTTTACTAATACATGAAAAAATAGAATAAACCAAGAAATGTTATTTGAAATGATGAAAGTCAGTTTATAATGATAAATGTGTAAAGACAGTAGGAAGTTATAACCTTCATAAACACATATACTCTTAGCAGAGAACCAAAATCCATAGCACAAACTTGACAGAATGGAAAAGAGAAATACAGAAAACTTCACCAGAAACCCCCACACATTCTTCTCAAGTGCGCATGGAATACTTCTCCAAGATGAGCTACATGCAAGGATATTGAACAAACCTCAATACATTTAAAAAGATTGAAATAATATAAACTCTGATCTCTGAGCATAACGGAATGAAATTAAAATTCAGCTAAAGAAAGAAAATTGGAAAATTCAGAAATATGTGCAATTAGATGAGGCACTTCTAAATAGCCCCTGGGTCAAAAAAGAAATCACAGTGGAAACTAAAAAATATTTTGAGTTGAGTGAAAAAGAAAGCATGACATACCAAACTTCATGAGATGCAGCTAAAACAGTGCTAAGAGAGAAGTTTATAGTTGCAAACACCTATATTAAATAAAGGAAGAGAGATCTCAACTCAATAACTGAACATTCTATATTAAGTCATTGAAAAAAGAACAAAAACCAAGGTGACCAGAAATAAATAAAAAATTAGATTGTAAATGAGTGACAAAGACCATAGAAAAACAATAGAGGCAATTGATAAAACCAGAGTTGAATTTCTTAAAGCTTCAGAAAAATTGACAAGCTCTTAACTAAGATAACCCATAAAAAATAAAACTAGAATTATTAAAATCAGAAATGAAAAGGGGCTATAAATACCAATCTTATAGATAAAAAGTTTTGAATGGAATACTGTGAGCAACCCTATAATACAAAATTAGATAATATAGGTCCAATGGAATAAATCCTAGAAAGACAAACTATTAAATTGAGATTCAAAATATGAAGAGCCCTGTATTAATTAAGAGATTTAATTGCTAATTACAAAACTTCCCATGAAGAAAATCTTTCACTCAGATGGCTTCGCTAGCAAATTTCTACTTAATATCCAAAGATTTGTCAGTCCTTCATGAAATACCCCCGAAAATTGAAGTGCCGGAAATACTTGATATCTTATTCTCTGTAGCTAGCATTATATTAGCATATCCAAAGACATCACAAGAATATTCAAACTGTAGACCAATATCTCTTACGAATAGAGATGCAAAAAGTTCTCAACAAAATACCAGAAAAACAATTGAACAGCACATTTAAAAGGATTGCTAGGCACGGTAGCTTATGCCTGTAATCCTAGCACTTTGGGAGGCAGAGGCAAAAGTATTGCCTGATCCCAGAGTTTGAGACCAGCCTGGGCAATGTAACAAGACCTCATCTTTTCAATAAATCAAAAAAATTAGCTGAGCATGGTGGCACGGGTCTGTGGTTCCAGCTATTTGGAAGACTAAGGCAAAAAGATCACCTGAGCCCAGCAGGTCAAGGCTGCTGTGGCAGTGAGCATGCCATTGTACTCCAGCCTGGGCAGCAGAATGAGACTTTGACTCAAAAAAAAAAAATTAGGATTATAAAACATGACCAACTAGAATCTATCCTAGGGATGCAAGGTTGGTTTAGCATCTGAAAATAAATGAATATTGTACATCATACCAACAAATGAAAAACAAAAACCACATGATCATCTCAATAAACAAGAAACATTTAACAAAATCCAACTTTCCTTCATGATGAAAACATTCAACAAACTAGGAAAAAACACATCACAGCCTTCTTGCTCTTAGAAATACCAGAAGACCACAAAGAAAGACAAATTTGAGAACTGAAACCAGAAGACAGAGTGTTGCTTTGTTCAATCTCAGCTAGAAATATGTGCATCCAATGATTAAAAATTTTCACTTCTCTGAACATATCTGCAAATACCACTAAAGTACTACAAATAAAGTACTATTTATTTTGGGGTTACAAATAAATTTTAGTGAGTAGACAAATTTATAAATACAGGATCTGCAAATAATGAGGATCTGCTCAATCTGATAAGAGACTTATACTAGAATATATGAAGAACACTACTTAGGGCTCGATTTAAAAAAAAGACAAATAACACATTTTTAAAATAGGCAAAGAACATAGACATTTCTTCAAAGAAGGTGTGCAATTGATCTATAAGCAAATGAAAAGATGTTTGACATAATTACCCACTAGAAAAACACAAATCAAAATAACAAGATGTCCCTTGACACACACTATAATGCATGTAATAAAAAAAAAGAACAGAAAGTAACAAGTGTTGGCAAAGATGTATAGAAATTGGAACCCTCAAGAATTGCTGGAGTGAATATAAAGTGGTGTAGTTACTTTGTAAAATGGTTTGGCAGGTCCTTAAAAGGCTAAAAACATAGACACCATATGACCCAAAAATTCCTATGATGCTATCCCGAAGAAATGAAAACGTATGTTCACACAGAAAGTTGTACATGAATATTTATAGCAGTACTATTCATAAAAGCCAATTGGAAAAAACCAAAATATTCATCTGATGAATAAGAAATAAAATGTGGTACACATTACTCAATAATAAAAGTGAGGTATTGATTCATGGATACATGCTACAATTTTGAAGACATTCCAGGTGAAAGAAGTTAATCGCCAAGGGTCATATATGATCCCACTGACAGTAAATGTCCAGGGTAGGCAAATCAATGGAAACTGAAAGTAAATTTGTGTTTGCTTAGGACTGGGGGTCAGGGAGAGAAATAAGCGAGAATAACTGTTATTGAGTATGGGGTGTCTTTTGTGGTAATGAAAATATTCTAAAATGAATTGTAGTGATAGTTACAGCATTCTGTGAACACACTAAAAACATCAAATTGCACATTTTAAGTGAATACATTATATGGCACATGAATCTCAATCAAGGTGTTAAAAGTGCTTTTTAAAAGCACAAACGCTTTAATTTTGCAAATTACTGCCCGCTAATTTATTTCTTCTTTGAAAGCTACATCTTACTCCCTGCTCACTGGGGCTTGCATTCATTATCCTCAAGCCTCATAAATTGTTTTTAACACATGCTGAAGAAGTCAGGGCTCAGTTTTCTTTCTCATGATTATGTTTTCTATGTGATGCTCTGAATGGTCATTGTACTTGGAAGTTATATATTACCTGTTTTATTGATGATCAATAATTGAGTGAGAGGATCATGTGGTTGTTGTCCAGGAGTAAGGAAGTACAAATGAGGAGAAAGTTCCCAAGTGTAACTGTTATGATATATTTTCACAAAGATACGCTCCAGAAGAAAAGGAGTCAATCCAACAGCCAGAATCAATAGCCTACACGGAAGAAAATTGTCAGTGTGAAGGCACTGTTGTTTCCCAACCTAAATCTGTTTGGGTAGATTATAATGTGATGGGATCAAGAAATTATAAAAATTAAACACATAGCTATCTCAGTTTTTAAATATTTTGTCCTTTTCCTACCTCCGAATAGGAGGCAATAAACCATAGATATATTGTTTGCTCATTTCCCTTATTGTTTTCTGGTCACTAGTTATCCCATACAATTTCATGGGATATTTGTCCTTAAACGACATGGCCAGATTCTGCCTCTTTGCTTTGCTTCCAGGGTGATGCCCTCTCTTTCTACTGGTTAATTCATCAACACTTTATTTTCTAAATTCTTAATGTCCACTGTTCTTATAGTACTTATTTTTGTTAGTGAGCACATGATTTCTTTATCTCCAGGATCAAATTTTAAAATTGTTTTTTACTCCTTATTTTTTACATTTCTCATTTAAGATAAATAGAAAATCTTACTATACTGTCATTATCTTTTTACTTCAAAATATATCTTCATTCCTGATTTCTAATTATATCTTTTTAATTGTTTACTTGTTTTTTTTTTTGAGTTGGAGTCTCACTCTGTCGCCCAGACTGGAGTGTAGTGGCCGCTCCTGGCCACCACAGCCTCGACCTGCTGGGCTCCAGTGATCCTTCCGCCTCAGCCTTCCAAGTAGCCGGAATTACAGGCATGTGCTACCACGCCTGGCTGATTTCTTTTTTTTTTTTATTTATTGTAGAGATGAGGTCTCGCTGCCCAGGTGGGTCTCAAACCTGTGGGCTCAGGCAATTCACTCACCTCAGCCTCCCAAAGGCACGGGATTACAGGCTGAGCCACCGAACCCGGCTGTTTACTTGTTTTTTAGTATTGATTTGTAAGAATTCTTTATGTATTCTCGATAAAAGTCAATTGTCAAATATATGACTTGTCAATATTTTCTGCTAGTCTGTGACTTGTCTTCATTTTACAATGCTATTTTTTAAAGAGCAGAAGTTTTTAATTTTAACAATCCTTAGTTTATGGATTTTTAAATGATTTTTTCTTTTGTATTATGAAATATTTGCCGTATCTTCCCAAGGTCTCTAGGATTTTGTCCTGATTTTTCTTATAGAAATTTTGTAGCAAGAACAATTTTAAAAGGAAAAACAGAACTGGAAGACTTATACTACCTAATTTTAACAATTATTATAGAGTTACAGTAATCAAGACAATGTTGTATTCACATGAAAACAAATAGGTTAATAGAAAAGAATAGTCTCTTTAGAAATAGGCAAATATATAATTGGCAAATTGATATTCAACAAAGATACCAAGATAATTCAATGAGGAAAAAAAATATTTTGAAAAATGGTCCTGAAACAACTGGATATTTATATGCAAAAAAGAACTTTAACCCTTACTTCACACCATATACAAAAATTTACTCAAAATAGAGACTGAAATGTAAAAGCTAATAATTTATAATTACATCTTGTCTGAAATCTTGCTAAATTACTGACATACCTTCATTCTTGTCTCTTTCTAGACTCTCCATACAGTGTTGCCATATTCATATTAAAGATTTTTCTTAAATCATACTAAAACTTAAAATTTCTTAAATCACATCAACATTTCTCATGGGTTTCTCATTAGTTATTTGTTTAGCAAGTATTTATTAAGATTCACTTATATGCCAGGTCTTCTATTTATTGTTTAAACAAAGTTTTCAGAGAAAGGGTATCAATTGACAGCCAAGGTACCATGGGCACCAGGGTGCTAATGGGAGGTGATGAGATTCTTGGGAGCAGGGATGATGCCTATTACATAGGTATGGAGAATGAGCTTCTTTTACTTAAGAGAACTGGAGGGAAGCTATGACACCCAGGGAAGAGTCAGTCGGATAACCATATAGCATCAAAAATGGGCACTGGCATGCAGATACGAGAAAGAGAGTCCACATCCCAATGTGTCTGCCACCTACCATAGTAGAGAATTTAAGAGAGGAAATATTCCAGGAAAATCTGCATAACTTCAATTTTTTTCTCTAAAATTGTGTCTAATACATTACAAATTCCACCCTCCAGTTTCCTTATGGGTAACTACCAGGTCTACTGGGTATTATACTTTATCCAGTTTTGAAAATGCTGAAATTTATTTTTTTAAATTTATTCTCTTGCTTTTACATCTTGGATTTGCTTTTTAATGCATTGACTTTAAAACATCCAAGGCACTCTGATACTTACAGAGATAAAAGAGCTTTTCTGTCGTGCATTAACTTTAATAAACGAACCCTTGCAATTGTACAGACTTGCTGTCGCCAGAGAGCCACACCACCTATTGTATTTCTTATGTCGTTTAGTGAAGAGATAACTTGTTCCATCTCAACGAGACTTTCTGTTTCTCTAGCTCTTTCTGCTTGTACTTCTCCCAAAATGGCAATATCTGCAAAACAAAATAAGTAACTCATAAAATCACACTTCAAATGCACTTTATTCATACTGTAGGAGTTTGTTCTATCAAAGTGATTGCAATTAAGAGTCATTTGCATGACTATAGGCATTATGTGATATTACTGGTTGCTGCCGTAAACTAGAAAAATAGTTGGAAGATTAATTTTTTGAACAAAAGGAGTAGAAAGTGCCAGAGTCCAGCTCCAGGAGAGAGTCAGAGCCTGAATGGGGAGAATCAGGAACGGCAAAGAAGAACGACAGGAGTCACCTGCTGGGGTAGAGTTCAAGATTTTGCCAATTTTTATTCAATTCTTACATGCTTATATAGTTTTTTTTCTGACCCCCCTACCCACAAAATGTATCCCATGTTACACATTAAACGTTTGCATCATGTTTTTTCTTTTGTTTATGGGGAAGTTGACCTTTACAAGTTTCATTTTGTTCCTTCCTGCTACCCGTGGTGTTATTTATGTCTGAACAAAACACCAGCTGCCAAGAATTTATCAGCCACAACCTGTGACCTCTAGGCCAACTGAATCTCTTTCCTTCGCTATTCTATTTATTTTCCTTTACTAATCTATTTTCTTAATCCTACACTTATATACACTTTTAGCAGTAATATATTGACTTGTTTTTTCTTTTATATAACTGCCCTTATCTTACCCTGTATGAATTTTTAATACTCTATAAAAATTTAACTTTCTTAATTTTAATTGCCTTATCTATATTACTTGCTATTTTCTCATCACCTATTTTACATTTTATATTTCTAAACAAAACTTAAGTCTAAATCTACACTTATATATGAAATCAATCTTACTTCTAATCCTAAATGTATTTAATTTTAAACCTACATTAAGTGTGTATAATTTTAAGTTTACCTTAAAACTTAATTATTTCCTATTCCTTCTATTACTTATATTTAACTAATACCTACATCTATAATAAACATTTATCTTTTAATTATAACTGCTATTTATTTAATTCTAATCCTTACTTTAATTTTAACCCTCTTTCTAATTAAACTATAATGTTCCTTAAACCAAAAGGCATGTCTGTGACTTGTTTTTCCCGAAAACACCTGTTTTTGGAGATACTCTGTCTCAGTTTCTCACTTCCTCATCAATCATAACTGTCAATGTTGTTGCTTATAAAGGGTGTGAGAAAGTACTTGTTTTTCTTTTTTAGCCAAAGGTTGCAAATTTTCATGGGCAAGGGGGTAGTAAAACATTCCCTTGTCCCTTCAGGGGGAAATTTTTGCTGTCAAGCCCTTTTGCGTTCCCATACATAGGTTTACTGCTAATTCCCCATCCTTGCACATTCTGGCTAATTGTTTCGTTTATCAAGGGCCGTGCTTTTCAAGCCTAAGCAGGCATTCCTTGAAGGCCCAAAGGAGCCCTTCAGTAGGACCCATGGGGCTCTGCCTCCAGCATGGCCGCTTCCCACTGGGGCTCTGCTCCCTGTCAGCGTTTGTCCCCTTTTCGGGTCACCTCCATTTTGCCTCTTTAGGGGTTGCGGCTTCCGGCAAGAAAGATCTTAGATAATTTGGATACAAACAATACATTAAGGAAGTTAAGATCAATATGCAAGGTAATCACCGTGCCTAGGTGTGATGTGGAACTTTGTAATGGAAACAATTATCTTTTATGGTCAATTAAGCTACAAATTGACATGCCACAAGTTGGAAGTTAACCATAAATTGTTATTCCTGGAGAGATTACAAATCTATACTTGAGACTGCACTCTTGTACGTTCTCTACGTCCCTGGATACTCAAGATGATGTCCATCATAGAATGCGAAAACCAGGCTGATATCAAACCTCAAAACACACACACACACACACACACATAAATGTCCCAAGCACAACCACAGACACAAAAAACATACTATGAATAAAGAAATAAAGGTCTTAAGATATTGGTCAAAATACATTAATAGAATAATTTGGGGATATTCTGCTTCTAGTAAGTTGTAAGAGACTGTCTAGTTAGTCGCAAGAGAATATAATATTTTTAATCCTTCATATAGAGGAGAGCACAAGAAAGGTAGACTCACTTTCTCAAAAAGAGGAGCTTTTCGTAGGAAAGAATATTCCTGTGGCTGCTTTCATATTTAAGGAATGCCAGAAAAGGACAAAGGAGAAAATATTGTATGCCCGAAAGAAAAGCAAGCAGCCCAGATTAAACAAATTCTTATGGTCACACATAGGCTGGTGTGACTGACTAGAATAATGTGGTACCTAAGTCACAAAATAAGTTCACGACATATTTCAGTTTTTTCTCATGGGCCTTTCATAAGTGCTTAGGATCAGTATACCAAATGGCTGGGGGCAGGAAGGAAAGACTGAGAGGGTACACACAAAGAGGCCAGGGTCTTGAGTAAGACATCATCAAGTTGTGCTGGCTTTCCTTTGTGTATACATCAGTCCACTGAGAGCTTGTCAGGGAAAAGAGGGTGGAGAGAGATGTACTGGTGAAAAAAGTAAATAGATAATGGTGGCAGGTTGAAGATTTCTCCCATTATTGAGTAATTTGGTAGTGGAACTGTATATCATAGATCCATAGAATTTTGCCAGTGCTATAATTTGAAGTCACGTTGAAGGGAAAGACGTGACTGTTCTTCAAAACATTTGAAACTGGGGGTGAGCTGAATGTAATAAAAGCTGTGCAAAAATCCAGACACTTGTCAATTACAAATCAGATAAATTAGTCCATCCACATCAGCAGACTGGCAGAGTTAGAGCCATGCCATTTTCTGGGCATTGCTTACTTCAGTAGTTACTGTTTTTTGTTTGCTTGTTTTGTTTTTAACAGTAATTTCTATGATAAAATAAAACTTTCAAGACATGTGAAGAAGCAGGAAATTTCACCCATAAGAAAGAGAAAAAATAAAATAAAATCAGTACTAATAAGGGTCATCAGTCTCATGGTTCACATGTTGGAGTTAAAATACATGAGTAACTATAATAAATATGTTATAGGTTTTGCTAGAAAATATGGACAATATTAGTGAGCAGATGAGGAATTTCAGTAGAACATGAGAAAAGAAAAATACAGTATTAAAATGAAGAATTTATTAGTTGGGCTTCAAAACAGTCTGAACACAAGAAAAGAGGGTGAGCTTGAAGACAGTAAATATATACCATCCAAAAAGATTTTTTTCTTGATCATTGGTTTACAGAAATGGCATAGTTTTGTTCTAAAGTATTATTTAGTGTTCTTAAATTTTTTTGTGTGTGTCTGTAGACTCATATTTTATATTAATTTTGAAATGTTTAGCTCAATATAAAATTAAAAAACTCAAAAACCCCAAATGCTAAAAGATGTCCTTTATGCTAAAGGTAAATTCTACCAGATTAAGATGAGACTCAAAGAAAGAGTTAAGACAAGAAAGAATCAGTGAACATGACAAAAAATAAATTGAAATTATTTCATTTGAGGAGCAGAAAGAAAAAAGAATAAAGAAAAATGAACAGTCTCAGAGAAATATAGGATACTATCAAACATACCAACATATACATAATGGAAGTTCCAGAATGAGAGGATAGAAAGAATTTGAAAGCATTAAAGCAATGGCAGCTAAAATTTTTCCAAATTTTTTTGAAAACACTAGCTTATGCATCCTGGAAACTCAACAAACTCCAAGTGGATACGTTCAGGAAGATTCACCCCTAAAAGCAATATGCTCAAACTGTCAAAAGCTAAAAACAAAAAGAGAATCTTGAAAGCAGCCAGAGAAAAACAACTCAAGGGATACTCAATAAGATTTAGAGCATACTTGTCAAAAACCATGGAGGCCAGCAGGCAGTGGAATGACAATTCCAAGTGCATGAAGAGAGAGATTTAGAATAAGTATTTGTTTGAGATTGCTTGGCAGCCTGAGATTATGGTGAGGGCACTGAGCCTTGGGTGGAGAAAAATGGGCTAGTTTTAGTGACAAGGCAATATTGATGGGGTTTAAGAATGGCCTTAATCGTGGGAACTCACATTTTGTAATTACATCTTTGGAACAGTGTCTTCTTGAAACATATACTGCACTGGGTGTTGCGAATACCTTTAATGATAATTATCATGCATTTTATTTACCTGATTCATCAAGTACTGATTTTCCTTCTAATTTCAGGAATACCTCATTCAAAGTTGTCATGGAAATGCTGTAACTCTCAATTCCCAGGCCAGGAATGCTATCGAGATCCATGTAAAGTTCTAAAGGACACACACACAACAGTGAATCAAAATAACAAAGATCACAAGTGAACTGATGATAATTTTTCAAACATGTAAGTACAAATATATAAAAGTATACTTGTGATACATCAAAGACACTTTACAATTTACCGTTTCATAATAGGTAACCTTATTCTTCCAATTCTAGTATTTTCTATTTCATATTATGTGTTATAGCCTAAATATTGTTTTCTTATGATCAAATATTCATTTATATTCATTTATATTTCTACTAAATTTTTATTTTAACTTTTTTTGGACTTGTTTTTGAAATGTACTTAATTGTGGAACTTTGGTTTTTTCAACTCTAAGTCTAATTAATCAGTCTTTTCCAGAGAACAGATACAAGTGGAAGCCATTTATGCTGTAATTGATAAAAAAAAAATAATTTTTTGAGAATTAGCTGGATAGTGCAGAATCTTCTTTAGTTCAGAAAATATATATAGAAGGAAATGCATATAATATAAACCATTAACCAAAATGTCTGTTTTTGGCAATGAAAGGAAAACACCTCAAGATTTAATAGACAGAAAATTGACTCAGGGAATTTTCTTGGAATAGCAGGGACTTGTGAGAGTGATTACTCCTGCTAGCAATTTTGCAGTATTTATTTTTTAGTCCATTCACCAAAAACACGGATGCATCAGTCATTGTTCATAAGCAATGAACAATGCCCCTGCCTTGGTAGATCTGAATAATAGCAATTAATTAAATAAAGCTAAAACAAAAACTTAATTCTAAAGCCTGTGTTTATTATAGAAGTTCTTAGGCTCCAACCTTGACCTCCTAATTGAACAAAAAATAAGTTGAAGGCTTTTTGTTTCGACTAGAATAACATATACAGAAAGTAGAAAAGAAGTAAAATTTAAACTGCTAATGAGTATTGTGTCATTCTTCATTCTACCTAAAACATTCACAAATTTTAAAAAAAATTATAACTACTATTACAGTACACTAATCAGGGTTTGCTTAACACTTTGCCTGATGATTCCAAGGAACACTTGTGTTGTCACCATAAGTTGTCTATTTGAATGACTTTGTGGGATGATATGTCCTTGTTAACCATACATATGACAAGTTTAACTGTTTCAACCACCAACAAAGACTTCCACAATGCCTCATTGTCAGGGAGCAGATTGTCTAGATGCCAAGCATAATTAGTAAATTTTTACATGTTAATCTGAAAAACACAAAGTTATCGCAAAAGCCTTGCCAACAGAAATAGCCACGTCGTGGAGTTGTTTAATATATTGTCTGAGCCAGAGGTTTTCAACCATTTGTATTTATGTGAATTTATTAATACTAGAATATTTTGTGGCATATTACAAGGGGAAGAAGGACTAAAAGAAGATTTTTTAAATGCCCAGACATTACAATGCGACTATTAGAATATAATAATATTTCCCATGATAGATAAAATAAACCAGTTATTGTACTATTCTTTTGATCATGTTTTTTATTCTGAGCACATTGTAAATCTTCAATGAATGTAAGTTGTAATAATTAACATCATTATTATGACTATTATTTATATATTTTATTTCACAGTGTTCATGTACATTACCTGGAAATTTATTTGTTCTTTCTAAGGGTAACGTATAGACAAGTTTTCCTTCGCGTTCTGCTGATAATTTGGCATCAGGGATGTGCTGTTTAACAAGCGCTGTTATGTTTTCCTGAACACATATTTCATTTAGCTGCAAACTGGTGTTTAAAAAAAGGAATATGTTATTTGGCATAGTCTCCAATAGCATGTAAAAGATTGTTCTGTAGGATAAAGAAGATCAATTAAAATCGAATGCAAGAAATAAGTCATACAAACATGAAATAAGATAGCAAAAGAAACAAATCATATGAATGTGATGAGGAAGTAAAGAAGGAGCTAATCAGAATTACTGGAGAGGTTACTCAGGGATAGTGTACAGGGAAGTTTGATATTGATTCAGGTCCTTGGAGGTAGGATAGTCACAGAGTAGAGATATGAAGGGTGCAACATAGCAAAGGTCAGGGCTATGCAGAATGGATAATGTTAACAGTTATGCTCAATGGGGTTTAAGCTGGATAAATAGGATTGTTGTATTGGTTCAAAAGAACAAGGGACTTTTTACAAGAATAGGTCCAGTTATTCGGTTTAGTCGTCCAATTAGCTCTTAGCATGTGGCAGATATCACATTGAGTTCTGAGGTACACTGATAACTAAAACAGTATTTTTCAGCTCTAATGTAGTTGATTGTCTAGTGGAGGAGACACGATAAAACAAGTAAAATAATTATCAATAGTAGTAGGTGCTATGAAGGAAACTGGTTATCGATATAAAGTAATTATGGATGGATGAATATGGGTTTGTTTCCTTTTAGTGCTAACCTCGAACTTTGAGTAAGAACTAAGTATCAGTCTATCCATTCCAAAACACTACAGATATTTCCCCATTCCAGATAAACAGAACAATAGATACACATCTATTAGTCAATATTACTAGGAAAATATTGGTAGTGACTTGGCTTTGAAACTTGGTTTTGTGAACAATGCAGTAATAAACATACGTGTGCAGGTATCTTTTTCATAGAGTGATGTGAGTTACTCCAGACAATAGCAAAAACATGGAACCAACCGTGCTGACCATCGAAAGAGGACTGGATTAAAAAATGTGGTACATATACGTGATGGATGTATTACACAGCCATAAAGAAGGACAAAATAATGGACTTCACAGCAACCTGGATGGACTTAGAGTCTGTAATACTGAGTGATCTATCACAGAAACAAAGAACTGAATATCACAAGTTCTCATTCATAAGCAGACCTTGAACAATTATGGTGCTACTATAAGAAAAAGATTGGCAGTAGTGGGAAACTGCTGGGGTGGGTGGGTGGGGGGTGGTGGGATTAGCAGTAGTGGGAGTCTCCCGGGGGAGGGAGAGCACACC